ATATCTCCTCCCTCTTGCGTCTCCCTCCCACCCTCCCTATCCCACCCCTGTAGGTGGTCACAAAGCACGGAGCTGATCTCCCTCTGCTGTGCGGCTGCTTTCCACTAGCTAGCTATTTTACATTTGGTAGTGTATATATGTCCATGCCACTCTCTCACTTCATCCCAGCTTCCCCTTCCCCTTCCCTGTGTCCTCAAGTCCATTCTCTACGTCTGCGTCTTTATTCCTGTCGTGCCCCTAGGTTCTTCAGAACCATTTAAAACACTTTTTTTTTTTATTACAGTACAGCCTTTTCCTTCTCTTTTCCTTTTTTCCTCTCTCCTCTCCACTCACATCAATGCCCGTGCTGCCCACCAGTAATCCTACATACTACCCAGTATGTATGCTGGAAAACACACACACACAAACACACATACACACACACAAACACACATACACACACGCAGGAATGATATTATATACACTTTAGTGCATCTGCTGTTCTCATTCAATACCTCGTGAGTATCTGTCCAAGCCAACTGTATGGCTCTAAACCATTCTTTTTAAGGCTACAAAATCATTTCATGCTTTAGACGTACTATTGATCTAATGTGGATATTTTTTTCCCCTAGGCTTCATTTATCAACTGTGATATAATAAGCATTCTTGCACTGTACTGTTGTTTCTTTGGGATAGATTTCTAAGAGTGAGGTTGCTGCATCAAAAAATAGTGTAGTTGCTCTTTTTTTCTCTCTCCTTTTAAAAAAGATTATGCTAGATGTTCTTATTTTGCAAGTGACCTTGAGCACTCACTTCTCTTCCCTGGACCTCTGTTTTCTCACTGTAAAGCAAGTGTGTGGGACTATAGATGACCTTGAATGTCCTTTGCAGCTTGTTTTAAACTTCTCTGCATCTGCACTTATGCCCACTGCTCTGTTTTGCTGCAGTGAAGTGAAAATCATCACTGCTGCTGACTCAAGAACAAGCGTCCTGCCTGTCTGAGTCTCAAGATTTTGGACCTACATTTTGCACACAGACTAGTTACTTAGCTGAACCACTGATTTCCAAGTACAAACTCTTCTGAAATGCTACAGTGAGGGAAGATTTCCCTGATTACTTTGTGTTTCCTTGACACCCGCGGTTCAAATGAGAGCTGGACAGTGAAGCTGATTGCAGAGTTCTAAGGTTCTGCTGTGTACGTTTAGATTTACCTTCATCTAAACAGGACACACTCCTAGCAGCCTCTTTGATTACTTTTTCAGGATGCTCCCAATTTTAATGAGGATAAATACTTGATTATTGCGTGACCACACCACTGAATGAGGAGGGAAAATGTTGCACAATGGTTATCTACTTTGTCAGGCTTTCTATTCTGTGCATGTCTACCCATAGTAAAGCTTCTGGACCAAGGAGAAAGAACTGTTTTATTTGCTAAATCTAAGGGGCTTCAAACAGATAATTCTTGCAGTCTGAATAATAACAATTGCTTATTGCAAGAATACCACGCGGCTGGCCTCAGTGTAGGCACTTCACACGCATACTCTCATTTAATCCACAAACAACCCTTGAGGGAGGTTATACATATTCTTATTATCCTCATTTTACAGATTGAGAATTTCCCCGCAAGGTCACAGAGCGAGGAGGTGGTGTAGTCTGTCTGCAGAGCCCACATTCTTAACACAGAACAACACTGCAGTGGAATCCGGCAGTAGCAGGCAAGTGGGACAAAAATACTGCATGGCTTCTTGACTATCTTATCAATGTCACCTGAAACCCACACTGAGCACCCCGCAGCCATCCTCTATAGAAGTTTTAGATGTTTATGGCTCCCATAGCAAAATCTGAACACAGATACAGACTGTGGACCAGAGTCAACACAGACCGTGGGCTCAAACTCTGGCTCTGCCCTCTGACCTCAAGCAAGTCTCCTCGCCTTTCTGTCAAATCGGCCAGGCAGCTGTTTCTCACCTGCTGCCCTGAGGACGAGAGGAAGCTGGCACCACAAGCGGCAGGCTAACACCAGAGCCAGGGCCAGGGCTTGTAAAACGCCGTTTCCTCTCCATTTCTCTCCTCCTCTAGTGCGGAGGAGGGCAGCATCTTGAAGGCAAAAGGCTGCCCTCCAAGCCCTCTCCTGCCTGGGTTCCAGTTTGCCCCCTGTGTCTTGGCACAAACACTGGCGTCAGGGCTGCCACGGGATGGCCTCCTTTTCAGTAGACTCCCCCTGCCCCCCATTCTGCTGGGTGGACAGGGGGCTTCAAAAATAGCTATTTATTTGCTTAACTGCGGGGCGGGGGGAGCAGAGTGATCAAGGGCAAAATCAATTACTATTTTTCATCTTTGACAAAGTAATTAAGGCCATAGCGACTGGCTAATTCCGACCGAATGGCTGCTCAGTGATGGATGCGGATTTACGGCCTGCTTGGCGGCGGTGCTCAGAGGCAGATTATCACTCCAAACAGGCGGCGGCGTAGGGCGTGGGTGGAGGCCCGCAACCGCAGGACTTGAGCCTTTTCTTCTTGTTTTTCTAAATACTGCGGCTCACTCCTCGGCGCTTCCCGAGCGCTGACACCCAACGGGGCGCAAGGCCGCCCCTGGCCTCCTGCCCCCGCACGCTCTCTCTTGCCTTCGCCCCCTACCCGGCTGCCAGGCTGGTGCCCGCCACTCCGCATCCGCGTTGGCTTCAGAACAACCCCTCTAGGTCTCCCCGCTCCGCACTCTCCCTCCCCTCTCCACGCGGCCCCTCCTCTACAGAACCTTGCGGCTGGAAGTGGGGGGAAGGTGGGAAGCCAAAGCAGTGCCTCCGCCAACCGCCTGCAGCCTGCGCGTCAACCGCCTTTGAAGGACCTGACGCACGTCGGGCCCCAGGAGGGAACCGAGTGCGCACTTGGCGAGGGAGGACCTGCGGGAGAAACGTCAGACCCGGGGGACTGACCCGGGGCGCGGGGCGGCGAGGACAGCAGTACTCCACCACCTCTGCGCACTCCTTCTCGCTCCAGCCCGGGCAGGGACGTCAGTGCGCCCCGGAGCATCGGTGCGCTGGCTGGACGCTCCGCTGGCTGCGGGCACTTGGCGCGGGCGGCTCAAATGCAAATTGCGAAAACTGACTTTCGAAGTCGTGACGCCCTCTTGGAAGTCGGCCCAGGGCCCGCCGAGGGAGGCCTACTCTGACCTAGGGGTGCGCCTCCTGGCGCGGAAGTCGGGGGGCTGCCAGGCCTGCCCTTTACAGTTCTCGCATCCTGGTTTGGCTCCTTGGAAACTGGGGACTGTTTCCGAAGAAGCGCCCAGCAGAGCCCCTCGGCTTTCCCCGTGGCTGCCAGAGTCCAGGGTGTTTTCGAGCGCCCACCAGGGCCGAAGCAAGCGCCCCTGTGGGATTCCTGGCCCCGCCTTCTCTCCTGACCTCCCCCAGCGAGAGCCCCCCAAAGTCCCACCCCATCTCCCTTCCTCCCCGCTCCCGACCTCGCTGGGTTTGCCTTAGAGCGGTCCTTCAGGGAGAACGCGATCGGCCCCCAGACGGCCCTGTGGGAGGGTTTGGGAGATTCTCCAGGGTTCGAACGCGACTTTCTGAGCCTCAGTTTCTCCAGCTTTCAAACTGGGAGTTTCTCAAAGGTTGTTGTTAAGGCTAGATGGGGTAATTCATGGAAAGCCCTTGCACGATTGTTCAATATTGAGAGCTTAATAAATATTAAATCAAAGCGACAATAAAAAGCGTCCTGAAGCCCTCAAGGAAGCTCACAAGGAAGGTCTCTTCAGGGAACCTGTCCTCCTTCCATAATCATGCAGACCGTGGGTCCCTAGCCGGCTGCCCCCGGAGGGGCCAGGGGGCAGAGTCAGTGAGCTGAGGCATCCGCGTGCGTTCGCGCGGCTCGGAAGGAGGCGGGAGGGGCCCGGCAGTAGTGCTCTGGGCGCCCACCGCAATCTGCCGCCGCAGCCTCGCCTGCTGCCGCCGCAGCATTGCCCTCCCGCCGCGTGGGGACGGCCCAGTCGAGTGTGACGGAGCCGACCCCGAGGCAGTTGGCAAGGCTGCGGGCAGCAGGGAAGGGACAAAGTGCTTTCCGTAGCTCCCCATTTCTGAGGCCTGGAGTTGCCTGAAGGAGCCCGGCCAGAAAGGAAAGAAGGGAAGTGTTTTGAGACGAATCCCCTATTAGTCTCCAAACTACACCTATGTAAAGGTGTTTTCCCTTTCTAATGATTATAGCCATTGCTTTGTACCAGCAGGAAAGTCCATCTTTCTATCGCCACGGCCACCTCCACCCCAGCCACAGAGCAGTAGAACGTCCTCTGGTGGCATCTCGGAGGGCCAGCCCTACCGCCTGGTTGCAGCAGATGGTGATTTGGAGGGTCTATAACACCTTGTGCATCCAAATCATTCCTGGCTCTGGTGAATTTTTATTGAGAGGGCTAGGAAGAAAGAATGGGTTTCCTTTTACTTTGAAAGTGACCTAAGAACCAGGTCAGTGTTGGAAATAATTTCCTTTTTATTTATAATATTTTCAGAGGAGCTTAAAACATACAATGAGAATAGTGCTAATTTTACTCAGGGATTTCTCTTAATTGTGTTAATGGAGATAAAATAGAAATGCAAACACTAGACCTCAATTTTTAAGCAAAAACCTAGGATCTCTCCAACACTGGTTGGCTGGGAGGGTGGGCTGTGGGAATCTGAAGTCCCACATGCAAGGTTGGTACAGCCTTATAAACGCAGGAACCGTGTGTACAGCCATTGCAGAACTGTGTCTCTTCGTGAGACCCTCGATCTCTTTATAGTAATATTGCGGAATCCGCTGCCTGCAGGTTTGGAGAGGTGGCAACAGGATCTAGCCGAAGAGAAAGAGGGAAACATGACAGTGATTTAACTCCTTCCTCTGAGCTCACCTCAGCAGCCCAAAGCGCTCCTTTGGCGGCTGTGCCTCAGCTTGGGTGCAGTGGGACGTGTCCCTCCCATGTTTCCCTTAATTAGGAGGAGGCAAACTTCTATCATTCCCTCCCGCCTGCTTCGGTTTAGTAATCAGACCCACATGAGTCACGCCAAACACGCAGCCCCCTCCCGACCGAGTGACAACTGGCCAGCGTACTCTCGGCTGTTGTCCCTTTAAAACCCGAATCCAAGGAGGTAATGATTTATCAAACTTGTCTTATCAAGAAAATGTCAAACGAAGGGCACCTTGCTTTGCACTGACGCAAACCTGGCCTTTCCCAAGGAGATATAGAAAGCGCCTCTCTTGCTGGAGCCAAACCCAGTCCTGTCAATAGCTGGTTTCACTCTCTGCCTTCAATCTATTGCCTGTTTCAGACATGGTGAGTGTTTGCTTTTGTTCTTTTAAGAGGAGAGGGGGCTGCGAGGGTAGGAAGGGCAGATTCGTTTTGGATATTTCTTTTTGAAATGTTCTGTGCATTCTGGAAGGCGAAGGGAGCTCACCTTGTACTTGTGAGCATCACCTGGGGTCGGAAAGAGGTTTCCGAGGCTGTGGAGCCAAGAGGTTGGAGGTGTCTCCCAACCCCGCTCTTCTGGGAACTGTCCTTGGTGCTGAAAAGCCAGGTGCCAGTACTGAAGAGAGCCGCTGCGGGTCCTAGAGGCTATTGAGATAAGAATGCTGGCTAGAACTGAGATACTTAGATTTGGTGCAGATTAATTTAGATTTGGTGCAGATTAACGAGTTCTGATCTGTGCGTTTGTGAAAAAAGGTTAGACGAGAGGTGTGTGGTTGAGGTGAAGGTAATATGATTATTCTTACAGTATAATAGTAATTATTGGAACGAATATTTACAAAGCCCTGAAAGATAACACGAGGGGAGAAAGTGGGTGGAAAAAACACCGCTGGCAGTTATTTTCATTTGAACCTCAATTGGGAGAAAGCAAATGAAAACTAGTCGTGAGGTTTGGTTCCCAAGTCAGTGGAGGGGCATGGATATTAAACTCTTGTGAATAGTTATTCTTGGGGAGTGGATCAAAAAACTTCTCAGGTCCTTTTACATATCTGGGAATCTAGAAATGAATGTGGGTTGTGTAAGATAAATCCAGTTACTACCTTGTGTTTGAAATCTGGTTTATTACTGTTCTTGTGGGGTTGTTGTTACTGTTATTTTGGTCGTTATCCTTATTCTTGCTTTTGCTACCTGGCGGGCGGGGGTGGGTTTTGGAGCGCTGGGATTCGCACAACCAATTTGGCCTCAAACACTCGCAGGTGCCAGGGCATCAGCTTTTGTGGCCGCAGCTTGTTTATCGCTTATTAAAAAAAAAAAAAAAAAAAAAAGCAATGTGCATTGTTGAATGACAAAGGAAATGGGGCGGAAAATTAAAGAATCTTTCTACAATGGTGATGGGAACGTGGGCACCCTACAGTCGTGATGTGAAATCCAAAGAGGGCAGGGACCTCATGGCTGTAGGGTTATTTCCGCCCTCCACTTCTCCCGCCTCCAAAAAACATTTCTGCATCTTTTCTTAGTTCACCTTCTATCAGGGAGGAGGATATTAGTTTCTTTATGTCATCCAGTTATGCACAAGACGGACAGACTGAGAAATAATGATTACGGTTTTTCTTGGAGAAGGAAAAAAAAAATCCAGATTCCAGTTTGTTCCCTAGATATTATGTCTGGACCTGAGTTATGAACGTCTCTATATGTAGATACAGGTATTTTTAAAGCTGCCGTGACTTTTTTTTTTTTTTTTTGCAACAACTTCACATTATGTTTGCAGGATTGCGGTGCCCCCAAGGAAATGAATAAACAACCAGCCAACAGCCTGGAGGCGGCGGTGGCGCTGGGCCACCACGATGGCTCGTGCGCACCCAGGACGAGCCCGGAGCAGGGGCTTTCCGCGGCCGCCGCCGCGCCGCCGCCGCGTGTGCCAAGGTCCTCTTCCACCGGCGCCCAAACTTTCCATTTCCCCGACGCGCGAGCCTGCGAGGCCGAGCGGCCGGGAGTAGGGGCTTGCAAACTCGGTAGCCCGAGGGCGCCGGCGACCTCGGCGGCTCCGCGGGACTTGAGCGAGGCGCACGGCGCGCAGGCCGCCCCTCCTTCAGGGGGCGCCGGGCCAGGCAACGCGCTGCATTGTAAGTTTCCGGCCCTGCACGGCCCGGAGGGGGATGCGAACGTGAGCGTGGGCAAGGGCACCCTGGAGCGGAACAATACTCCGGCCGTAGGCTGGGTGAATATGAGCCAGAGCACCGTGGTGCTGGGCACGGATGGAATCACGTCCGTGCTCCCGGGCAGCGTGGCCACCTCTGCCGCCCAGGTAAGCAGGTCGCGCTAGAGCCGAGCCGCCTTCTGCTCCCCAGCCGCGCGAGAGGCGAGCCAGGCCGAAGCGGGTGCACGTGTGCTGATGGGGAGACCGGATGGCAGAGCCAGGTGATGGATGCGGGAGGCAGCTTTGGGGCTTCGGAAACTCGCACTGCGCTGGGGTCACTAGTTCAGGGCGCGAGGGCTGCAGCGAAGCTGCCAGAGGAATTGCGACCTCAGGACCTGCCGCTACCTGCCCCTTCCCAGCCTCAGTGGTAGCGGAAATCCAGGTGCAGACTCATTAAGCCGTTGAGGCATTTCGATTCTTACCCTTTTCTGCAGACAGGACTCCCCCTCTTGCTAATGACTGGGTCGTTTTTTTTTTTTTCCTAAACAATTCTTAATTTAAAAAAGGAGAAGAAAATACAGAGAAAAACCTGGGAGAATAATCACTTAAGTCCTGTAGGCTTTGCACTGAGAATTACATTTATCACATGAGAGCTCATTTGATGAGAGGTGGCTTACATGAGGCCAGTGCTGAAGTTTAAGCCTCAGAGCCTATATTTTCCAAAACCTGGTACCTAATTTTGTATATATATATATTTTTTCTTAGAGTACCTCTCTCAATTGTATGAGCCTCAGGCCCCCAAAACCTGGATTCACCTGTACATTTGATCCTTTACGCTCAACCAGAGGCATGAAAAGCCCACAAAGCAAATCCCAGTCCTGAGTTAGGGATGAGGCAGCTATTCCTGGTGGCCCCCCCTCCCATATGGACTTTTGTCTTCTTCCATCTCCCTCCAGTTTCTCTCCGTCCTTCCCTGATTTCTTTCCTCCCTCCCCTTTCACGCACTTCAGCTCTTCCTTTCCCGTTGCCTCTGCCTCTACTGCTCTCTCCTCTCTTCCCCTGGGCTCAAGGGCTAAGTGTGTGTAGCCAGTGGCGGGCTCTTGAACCAGAACGTCTGGCTGTGTGAGATCTAGGGTGTGTATAGCCCTTCTTAGTTACTCTAGTGTTTGTACACACACACACACACACACACACACACACACACACGCCCACACAGCAAGAGCTCGGCTGTTACAATAACTAGAAATGGACATAAACTTAGGCTTTCCCGCCCGCCCTTGTTTTTGGGGTCCACCTCTGGAGCGTTTGACTGTGTGCATTAACAGCCAGTGACAGCATGTGCCCAAGAGTGTGACCTCAGGTAGAGGCAGAAAATTTGTTCCGCATGCCTTGCTTAACCTCCGCACTGCGGCAAAAGGAGCTGGAATCCCCACCCTTCGTAGCCCCGGAAGAATTGAAGTGGGGGTGGTGGCTGGAGGTGGTCTGTGTGTGGGAGGAGTGTAGTGGGGTTATTAAAGATGTTCAGTATAGATCAAGCCCTGCCTTTGCCTGTTTTCAGCTCTGCCCATCTTTCTGATTCTCGCCTGACACCCACCTCGACCCTCCTCCTCTCTCCCCAAGACTTCCTTCCCATTTTGGCAGCTGCTTCTTTACCCTCCATGGCCTGTGGAACAGTGTGGATGTGCCAGGTTGCTAGAATGAGGTGGAGGGTGACTGAGGAGGTGGAAGCTGTGCAGTGGCTTGGGTCCCTGGCAGCTTTCTCTGGTGTCCAGGTGTCCTGAACATTTCCCGAGTTTATTTGAGATGGCTTCACCTACAGTTTTTTCTGCTTTCCAGTGAGGCATTCCAGAACCAGGGACTGCCCCCAAGAAAGCATCTTAGTGTGAGCTTGGAGAGGTGAGCTCCAAAGATCCAGAGACTGCGGGAGCTGGGGGGTGCCTCAGGGGCCAGTGATTCTGAGCCCCTCAGTTTACAGATGGGGAAACAGAAGCTCAGCAAGGGCCAGTGGCTTGCCTGGGGTTATCCAGCTGGGACGATAAAGTTTAGACCAGAACTCAAGGTTTTCAATGTCCTGTCTCTTTGCATGTCTGTTTCTCCATTCTTCCTGTTGTTTCACCCCCGCGTCTCTCTCCTTCCCACCTCCCTTGCCCCACTGCTGAAAGGTGCCCCCTTCAATGAGCTGACCAGGCAGGTCCTGCCCGTAGGCTTTAGAGAAAGTGAGGCAGGGGCTCTGGCTGGCTTCAGGCATTGCAGCTCTCCTTCTGGCCTTAGCATGGGGTCCAAAAAAAGAAAGGGCTGAGTAAGGGGTGTGAGGAATTTTGGGAGGAGGGGTTGGTTAGGGACCTGCTTGCTGGGGACTCTAGGCATGATATTGGGGGCCTGCTTGCCAAATGAACTCTTGGTCATGGGTTGGGGATGGAGGGACCTGCTTGCAATCCACCTACAGGTTCAAGGTTTGGGGAAAGCTGCTTGCTGGTGTGATTTGACTGCAAGGAAAGAGGGGTTCAGGAGTCTAAGATGGCTCTTCTGATCAGAATTGGGAGCCCCCTGCTGAAGACTGTCTGCAGGGTTGAAGGGTCAGGGCCCTGCTTGTAGATGCATCCTCTCTTCAGAATTGGGGTCCTGCTTGCCGATGCATCCTCGGTTGAAAAGTGGGGGCCTGCTTGCTGGGAAGGATCCTCAGCAGTGGGGGAGGGGCGGAATGGGGCCTGCTTGCAGACCTTCCCCCGGGCTGGTATCCGACCATGTGCTTTTCCGCCCCCAGGAGGACGAGCAAGGGGATGAGAATAAGGCCCGAGGGAACTGGTCCAGCAAACTGGACTTCATCCTGTCCATGGTGGGGTATGCAGTAGGGCTGGGCAATGTCTGGAGGTTTCCCTACCTGGCCTTCCAGAACGGGGGAGGTATGGCTTTTCCGCTCTTTCCGCCTGCGGCGTGGCGGGGCGGGCACTTGTGGGTTGGGGGGTGACACAGAGCCCTGGGACGGGGACCGAGGCTGAGAGGGGAGGCTCAGAGCAGCCTCTTCACACTCCAGTTCGTCCCCGGTGGGCATCCGTGTGAAGCCGGAGGGCAGGAGCTATTGAAAGAGGTTGGCACTAGATCCAGGAGGCTTTTATCTGGGGATGGAGCTCAGAGAAGAGATGGGTCCTCACGCTTCCTCACTGGTCCAGCTTGGGGGGCTGGGCCCCGATTCAACTGAGCATTGATGCAGGGAAGTTCAAATCCTAATTTAGCCCACAGGTATTTCGGTACCCGACACACTCCCCACACTTAAACAACTTTAGAGCCAGGAGCTGTGTGATCCTGGACACTGAATTAAGGAGGTTTTAAGATCATAACCTGGAAATCCGAGCCTACATAGGAGACTTTGGGAATGGGCGCTTGGGTCGTGCAGAACGCAGGATGCAGGCGAACCAGGAGTGGGGAGAACAGAGGGGCTGGGGGTTGTGCTGTTGAAAATCTATTAGAAGCACACACACACACACACACACACATCCTCATGGGCACAAGCAGGGCATATTCTGACCTTAGCAAAAATCGTTTTGCAAAAACGGTTTCCGTTTCATTTGTCCTCACTGGGTGGAAGGAAAACCGTTTCTAAAATGGGGAGGACGCCAGTTAGGCTTCTAGGATCCTCTCCCCTGCCCACCGAGGAGGGACCCGGCACATTCACAGTCTCCTTTGCAAGGCGGGGCTAAACTGACAAGTCAAACCCCCTCTAGGATTAGGAATTTGCACCTAGGATTCCCTCTCACAGCTTCTCAACTGGACCAAGGAGACCAGAGCTGCGCCCCTCACCCCATCGGGTTAGGCAGCTTAAGTTTTGTTTGTTTGGTTGATTTTGTTTTTTGATTTTGGCCTCTCGGTGCGCTCCAGGCACAGGGACAAGGGACAGATGCAGTACCACGTGATGATGAAAACAGAAAAATATGTTAATACCCTCCCCCTAATTCCAAATTAGGACACGTTGACAAGTATTTATGAGGAGCGCAGAGCGTTCGCAATCAGGGGTGCCCCGGAAACAGAAGAACTCATGCTGGCCACACACATACGGGCGCCCCAGCCGTGTTACCCCTTGGTTCTCTGCAGGGAGTCCCCAGACCAGGGTGCCGTGTTAAGCTTTACAGTACCAGGAAAGGGGGCAGGCACTCAGGTTGAGGGTGGGAAGGGAGTTCCAGTCCAGGGAGCGCGGCAACTTTGCAGCCCTGCTGCAGTCTCTGCTGGACAAGTCAAAAGGGTCCGTGCTTTGCTCGCCCGGGATCTGCGATCTGCATCTGGTCTGCGAAGTGTTGGGCTGCGCAGGGAGTCGGACGCTGGGAGGGTAGGCAACCTCTTCCGCACTGCGGCTCCGGGGCCCTTCGCGGCGCGGGTGGAGAGCTCGCTTCCTCCCTCCCAGGAGCAAAAGAGAAAGATTGCGCAATCTACATCTTTCTCGAAAACCCATTCAGGAGAGGATAAAGCAAGAGCCCTGGTTTAAAGCAAGAGCCCTGGTTTTGCCCCGACAGGAAAGGCCCTTCCAGCAGGAGGAAGAGACTAGAGAAAGATCAGCTTTCCTTCAGTGGAGCCCAGTGTTCTGGGCTGTGGCATCTCGAGTCCTGAATTGGTTCTGACTCTGCAACAGCACTCCCGTGTCCAAAGATCATGGCTATTCCCCAAGCCTCTACCGAACAACCTCAAAGAATCCTTGAGGATAAAGGACCCCAGAGAACCCTCAGGAAGTCTGCGGAGGCCTGCCAGCTACTGGTGCCCTAGACTGGGTGTTCTGGGGAATAGACGTGAAGGATCAACATCACGGACCCTTGGTCTAGATAAGACACCCACATAAATAGTGTCAAGTGCTTAGCGCCTGGGGACAGGTACTGTGGGAGGACAGAGAAAGGAGGCTTCCTGAAGGAGGAAGCATTTGAGTTGACCTTGAAGGATGGAAGGGACTTCTAATGTGGAGAAGGAAGTTGAGACGTGTGTGATGGCTGAGGCAGTGGGGAAAGGGATGTCCCTGCCACCCGTCTGGCAGAGCAGGTCCAACCCTGGTTGGCAGAAGATATGCAGGTAACACGTTGAGGGCTCCTGGAGTCCTAGCTTAGAAGATTTTAAGGTTTTGGAGGGCTGAGGTGCCAATGAGATTTCACCAAATCTGACTCCAGTAGTGAATCAAAGGTATGGATTTGTTGAACGTTAGAAGAGCTTAATTTGGAGACATTGAGGTACTAGAATAAGAAAGAGAAAAGAAGAGAAAATAAAACTCACCCAGTACGCAAGCCCTAGCAACCCATCCAATGGGGAACTGAAAAAAAGAATGTGTTTGCAGGGTACCCTTGTACTTTTCAGAGGAGGGCTCTTAAATGTCCTGGGCACCTGTGGTTGAGCTGGAATATCGAAAGCTTCCTAGAGAAGGCAAGGGGGATTCTTCCCTGAGGGGGAAGGTGGAGCCAGCTGGCCTGGGCCTCCCTGGGCTCTCACCTCCCACTCTCTCTTTCCAAGGTGCTTTCCTCATCCCTTACCTGATGATGCTGGCTCTGGCAGGGTTGCCCATCTTCTTCCTAGAGGTGTCTCTGGGCCAGTTCGCCAGCCAGGGGCCGGTGTCTGTGTGGAAGGCCATCCCAGCCCTACAAGGTGAGTCCCCCCTGCCTTCCAGCTCCCTCAGCCCTCCCCTGCCCTCTATGGCACCACGTGGCCCCGGGGAGGGAGACCTGCTTCTGTGATCAGGAGAACCCACTCCTTCCTTCTCTGTTTGATCGGTTTCACCACTGGGGCCCTCCGGAGAATGGCCCAAGATCACCCCTGGCATTGTTCCGTTCCTGGCAGAATGCCTCAGTGTCCCTGGTAGACACAGAGTCTATTCCACTATTAGTGTATCCATCTGTAAGAGAGAGCCAAGACCTAGGTCCCCACCCTGTGCCCAACTGTAAGGATTCCACAAGATTTGGAGGAAATGAATCCCTGGAACTTTTGCTTCCACAGGCTGTGGCATTGCAATGCTGATCATCTCCGTCCTAATAGCCATATACTACAATGTGATTATTTGCTACACACTTTTCTACCTATTTGCCTCCTTTGTGTCTGTGCTGCCCTGGGGCTCCTGCAACAACCCTTGGAACACGCCAGATTGCAAAGATAAAACCAAACTTTTATTAGGTAAGTTTGGATATACCTACACTAGGTGAACTATTCATTCATTCAATGAAGACGAATTGAGCACATATTATGTTTGCCAGGTTTTATGCTAGGTGCTGGGGGCACAGAGATTAAAACCAACATCAAATATACTTAATTCTAATATTTAAGGAACTCACGGCCTAGAGGAAGGATAATCAAATTTTTGTTTGCTCATGAATAGCTGGAGTGTTTGCTTAAAATGTAGAATTAGAAGTCCACCAAATAGTCTGATTTACTAGATTTGGCTGGGGTCAGGTCCCCAGGTGACTCATATGCGCGGTACAACTTGTAAAGCAATGGGGTCTAGCATCTAGGGGAGCGATGCTTGTGATCCTGGGTCCACACTTCACATAATGCAGCCCAGTGCATGAGGTAAACATGAGGAGAGACACTTAAACTGAGGACCTGTGATAGAAGACCTAACCTAGAAGAGGGGAAGGCTGCCCAGGGAGGCAAGGCGTGTGCCTGGCGGAAGGCTGGTTCGGGCCTGAAATCCACTGGGACTTGAGGACTTGGGGGAACTGTCAGCTTGTTGGGTCAAGGGCAAGGGCGTGATGGTGAGGAGGAACAGGGCATAGTGGCTGGCAAGGCTTCTGGTCTGTAAGACGTTCCGCCCCTGATGGTACATGTGTTTGTGTCAGGTAACTTCTCCTCTCTGGATCTCAGTTTTCCTCATTTGAAAAATAGAACTGCTAACAACATTCTTCATCCTACTTACCTCTGTAAGGAGAAAAGAAACGGAGGATATGATCGTAGTTGGAAAAGCATACAAATAGAAGGTGCTAGTATCAGTTGGACGCCAATAAGCAAGTAATTTCTTCTCTCCCCAGCGGAGCTGTTATTCCCTTTAAGCTGGATCTGGCTGAAGTCAGAATCCTGTGGTCTCTGTATGATTGGCTTTTAGTGTTGGTCCCCCAAACCAGCACTTTTGCCCTGACAGCCTGCACACTGCAGACCTAGGAAGTTACTTAAACGCTTTGAGTGTGTAAGAGAGAAAGATGACCCATCCCTCCCACACCCCAGAGAGATGCACATTCCTAAAGGCAGTAATTCACACTGGAGTATTTTTACACACATGTGCATGTATGCACACAACACGTCCAGCCTCCACCTTGAGAGGCTTTGAATGAGACTGCAGGAAAGCTGAAACTGGAAACATGCGCCCATCAAATTCAAACCCAGTGCACCTGAGTGCTCAAGAATGGGAGGATGGGGATTTGTGGGCTTCCCAGGTGTGCGGCCCACTAGTGGAATGACCAAGAGTAAGTGCCTCTAGACTCTCTGGGCCTCAGTGCCCTCATCTTTACAATCTCCATGTGGACGGATTCTTAACTTAGCGCAGTGGTTCTCAGCCCAAGCTGCCGCACAGTAGAATCACCTGGGGAACTAGCAAATCAAGACATCACTTAGGGTCCAGCCCAGGCCAGTTAAATTGGACTCTCTGGGGATGGAGCCTAGGAATCTATTTGTACAGTTCCCCAGCTGCACCCAAGGGTAAGAACCACCAGGTTGGTGTTTACCCACATCCCTTAATTAAGCTGCCCTTAACCATATTTGGAATGGAGTGCCCTGCAGTCCCTACCAACTCAGGGTCACCTCTGCAAAGCTTCTGTCTGAGAGAACCCCACTCAGATACCCCACTTTAGGTAGCTGTTCTCAGATTCACAACCAATCATCTGCTGCTGGAATGGATTCCCAAAAATGTCATTTTGGCAGAGTGCATTTTCTAGGATGTGGGGCTGGAATGGAGAAAACCTCAAGGTCGTCCCAGTGCCCTGCCTGTCTTTCCCAGATTGTGTCTGGGACGGAAGTTACTTTCCAAGGGAGTACCTCTTCCAATGAGAGCTGTTGCCTTGATCCAGCCTCCAAGGAAGCTTCCCTGGGCACTTCCCTCAGGGGTCATGTGTGTCCCACAGCTGTTCCTTGCGAGGGATAGGAGTTCAGAAACACGTTCTCCTCTGCTAACAATATCCACTAATATGTGTGCAGCACCTTAATAATAATAGCCAGCATTACTTACTACACACCAAGCACCATGTTACCAAGCACCATGTTAAACCCTTTAACTCATATTACCAATGTTAAGATGGACAACAGGGGCTTCCCTGGTGGCGCAGTGGTTGAGAGTCCGCCTGCCGATGAAGGCGACACGGGTTCGTGCCCCGGTCCGGGAGGATCCCACGTGCCGCGGAGCGGCTGGGCCCGTGAGCCATGGCTGCTGAGCCTGTGCGTCCGGAGCCTGTGCTCCACAACGGGAGAGGCCACAGCGGTGAGAGGCCCGCGTATGAAGTAGGCTTTGAAGCTGTTCGTAAGTAAACATTTGCCAAGTACACGCTGACCTAAGAGGCCTGCTGCTGTTGCTAATACTAAAAAAAAAAAAAAAAAAAAAAAAAAAAAAAGATGGACAACAAGCCAACATATGGTTTAATTATTATTTCCATTTTACAGGTGAAAAATCTGGAGCTCAAGTTTATAAAGCTAGCTCTGTGGTAGACCTTAGATTTGACCCCAAGTTTGCCTGCCTCCCAAGGCCATGGTCCTAACAACCACGTTAAATGCTCCTCAGTCTACAAAGCAGCTTCATAAATGATGTCTCTGCTGTTCCTAATAAGAGCTCTATACGTCCCAAGGGGCAGGTGACATGATCAGTTTCACAGGTGACAAAGTGGACTCTAAGCCTTAGAGGGTGGAAGTATCAGGCCACAAGTCTCAAGGTAGAGCCACAGCACAAGGATTTGGGTCTCATGACCCCTGATTCTCTGCTCATCCAGGGTTCCTGAAGGTTCTATTCTGTCAGCCCTGGCAGAGTGACATCTGTCCAGTTGTTCCCTAACTGATGTTTTTAGCTGAGATTCTGTGGGTTTAAAAGAAAGCTCATTTAGGGGCTTCCCTGGTGGCGCAGTGGGTGAGAGTTCGCCTGCCGATGCAGGGGACACGGGTTCGTGCCCGGTCTGGGAGGATCCCACATGCTGCGGAGCAGCTGGGCCCGTGAGCCATGGCCGCTGAGCCTGCGCGTCCGGAGCCTGTGCTCCGCAACAGGAGAGGCCACAGCAGTGAGAGGCCCGCGTACTGCAAAAAAAAAGAAAGCTCGTTTAAATAGTAGTTTGACTTAGTAATTCCACTTCTGGGGATCTATCGTTACAGAAAAATCAGAGACACAGGTAAGGACTCTTCGAGATTGTTCTTTGCAGTCATATTTACAATCTAGGAAAACACCAGAAACAGATGTGTAACAAAAATTCAATAATTCCATGGTTCAAATAAATTATAGTGCATCCATAGGAGGAAGTATTCTATAGTTTTTAAAAGTGAATATTCATTAAACATAGGGAAATCGTCAGCATGTCATGTTAAATGTAAAAGCAGGATACCAATTTATAGTATAATTTCATTTTTACTAACAATATGTGCTGGCTAGAAAACATATAGGAAGGTGATACGCAAAATGTTAACTGGTAAACTTGGGGCCATTCTTTTTTTTCTACATTTTCTATCAGGGATGTGTATTTATTTTATAGTCAGAGAATATATATGTATATATATGTATGTGTACATGTATATGTATATACATACATATATATAGTGTGTGTGTGTTTTTTTACAGCAAGCTGAGCACAGTGACTGGGCCAGGCGTGTGGGTGCAGGCCCCCCCTGGTTTTGTGGAATTTTTTGCCTGGCTCACAATATCCCAGGGAACATGAAAGGCAGAGTGAAGCCATTATACAGCTAAGCACCTTGTCGACTGGTATAAACTGTAAAAACAATGCAAGCTCTGAGCAGAGAGAGACAATGGACATTTTTCACTCTATTCCCTGGAAACATATGGACAGGCTGGGCAGATCTTATTTCATTCTTAGCCAGTGCTTTAAAATTTTTTGTTTGTTTGTTGAAAATGGAGGTATCAATCCTTTCCCCTCTCTTAGTGGAGCCCCTCAATCTGTCCTTCCCTGGGTTATCCGCACTTGTCTGGGGCCAGGTATCCTTTGTGTAAGTATTGATCCTTTGGGGTCCTGGGGTGTCTTGGAAAAGGGGATGATGGCCTGACTTATAGAGACATGGGTAGCTTTGTAGCTCCACTGCTCTGCTGGACAAGACCGGAGTCCAGACAATGATGTCACAGGCTGCCTCCCAAGTGGCCATACTGAGAGAGGCTTGTTTAGGAAATGGAAAAACTCCCTCCCCCAGGGCAGTGTTCCACAAATGACCTTCCAGGCTCACCCTCCCCCTTACAACCCCATAACCACCATACCCTGTGTTAGTGGGTAGCTTGTCCCAGGAGATGGGGGTAGATTCCCACGCCATTATGACCTTCACTCGTAGCAGGGAGGGGTTTATCCCATGGCCCCTCAGCTCTGCTAGGGACATACTGCCTGGGAGCCCTACCTCATCATTCAGATGCCAGGGCCCTGTACCTGCTCCGGCCATGGGCAAAAGCCCTGGCTCCGTCCACCATGGAGGCTGAGCTTGCCACACATTTCTCAGGTGTAGATTGTGAGAGAGGCTGTCTTCCTTAGGGACATTCAACCCTCCAGGTATTTGTAATGTTGAAGGGCTAATCCATGCCCTGCCAAGTAAGACCAACAACTGTTCTTTGAAATTAGGAGCCAGCTGGGTCATTTAAAATGGGAAGTGCATAAATATCATTTCTGTTTCTGGAATGGCTTAATTTTCATTAGAACCTTAATTCAGTGATTCCTTTCCTCCCCAGTCTTTCACATGCTTTCATTTATTCATAATTGCCCGCGTAAAGAGAATCTCATTCGAGCAGCCTCCAATTCAGCACGATCCTTATCGCTGTTCTTTGTTCAGGGTTGCTGGGCCGCAGAGCTAGCCGATGACACGGCCCATCGTTCCGTTGCTGGCCGACCTGAAGGCGCAGTGTGCTGGGAAGCACGCCTCTGCCACCCAGTGGTGGGAAGGGATGTTGCAGGAGGCTTGAGGCTGCAGGGAGCCCTGCTGCAGTGCCTCAGGGACGCTGTGACCTTGCACTGCAGCGGAGAGCGGTGATCCAGAGACGCCCAGAGACGCTCTGTAGGGAAGCTGCCCATGTGCTTCTCAGTGCCAGTTTTGGAAGCAAGCGATTTGGCGTTTGCCCGTTTGTTAGCGATCTCTTCTGTCTTAGGGGACGGACTTTTGGGCAGGAGGGCGAGAAATAACTTCTGTGCTTACTTACAGAAAAGGGCTATGGATGGTGATTTAATTGTCTTCATTCTGGTTCCTGCTGGGGGAGACAAATGCTTCCTCGGTAAATAGTTGATAATTATGAGGTGAGATTCCCCCTGAAAGTCTCTGTTATTTGATTAAAGAAGATAGTTTTGAGTAAGAAGGTATTTTGAGGACTCTAATAGTGGTGGTTCTCAAACCTGGGAGATTTTGGCAGGAGACATTTGACAGTGTTCATAGACATTTTTGGTTGTCACAACTGGGCTGGGGTGGGGTGGGGTGGGTGGATGTTCCTGGCATCCAGTGGGCAGAGGCCAGGGATGTTGCTAATACCCTGCAATGCATGGACAGCCTCCCACAACAGAGAGTTTTCTCGTCCCAAGTGTCAGTAGTACTGCTGTTTAGAAAAATTCTGGTCTAAAGGACTAATCAGAGGGAAGGGATTCTTTTAATTACTCTTTTCAGTTTTATCCAGTATTCTGAGATATTCTGGGGGATGTGTGGGACGTAGTAGATAATTTACGGCTGGCAAGTGGGATTGAGAGGTGATGTTGAGGATTAGAGATGCTCACCCCATGCAAAGGTATAACAATGGCGATTGCATTATGCCTAAGTTTTACTGAATTCAGCTGTGTGCTAAGCATTGCATGAAATTTTTCCATTCATGAGCTGTCTCACTTAATTTGGTTCTTGGAACAACCTTCAAACTAGATACACTATTATCAGAAAATGGAGGCTTGGACAGATTAAGGAACTCATCCAAGTTCTCAGGGCTACTGGAACTCCTGAACCCATGGTTTCACCCACTTTGCTGTTCCACAGAGGGCATAAATTGGGAGTCCATGCACCAGATCTAGGCTGCATGTGCTTTTTTTTTTTGGTTTGGTTTGGTTTTGTTTCGTTTTGGTCCACAGTGCTTAAAGACAATTTGGCCTTATTTCCAATGTTTTAAAATGGAGAGATTTCATGTAAATATCCGAATTTTCTGCATCTTTTATCAGGACACCTAAAAAAGCATGACACTGATTGGCTGGTAAGTCGTCCCTTGGTATTAATGGGATTGGTTCCAGGAGCCCTTTCGGATACCAAAATCTGCAGATGTTCAAGTCCCTTATATAAAATGGTGTAGTACAATGAAAACAGTATTCAGCCAACCGCCATCAAAATTTCAATCCGTGGTTGATTGAATCCATGCATGTAAAACTGCGGATACGGAGGGCAGACCATACTCTCTGTTTTGCCACCCGTTTTTACCCTCCATTTTATATCTTTCTAATTTGTGTCACCAGCCTGGCTTCTGAAGGTGTTTGAGTTTATGTTCCCCGCTCTCTGCTTCCCAGTAAAGTGGTGAAGAGCATGGCCTCCAAAGAGAGAGTGACTGTTTGCCTCCTGATTCTGCTGTGTGACCTTGGCAAGCAACCGCACTTCTCTGTGCCCAGTTTCTTTACCTGTAACATACAGATAATAACAATACCTACCTCGCGGGCGTGGTGTGAGGCTCAAATTAGTTAATGCATATAAGACATTTAAAATAGTACATAGTAAGTGCCATATAAGTGTTAGTTATTGTTGTTACTTTTCATTTCTTTATAAATTAATATCCTTTGGCATTAATCCTGCTGGACTCTTTATCTAAAATATCCATCAAGTGATCATAGAAACATTGTAATGTGGTCAGAAAGACTTCAGTATCTTCCTGTTTCAAATGAGGATAATCATAGGCACCTCCCAGGTCTTCTGAGGCTTCCACAAGATAATAATTGGTAAAGCGTCCAGCACAGTACCTGACATGCTAAGACTCATCTGATTAGTTCCCTGTTCCCATCCCAGTTTAGGTCAGGCATTCTCAACCTCAGCACTATTGACATTTTGGGCTGGATAATTCTCTGTCGTGGGACTGTCCTGTGCATTGTTGGACGTTTAGCAGCATCCCTGGCCTCTGCCCACTAGTTGCCAGTACCACCCTTTTCCCCAAATATGACAACTAAAAATGTCCCCCGACATTGCCAAGTGCCCCCTAGTGGACAAATTCGTTCCCAGTTGAGAACCTCTGTGTTCAGTCCGGTTGCAGGCTCACGAGCACATGTGAGTGTGCAGAAAGCACGTGGCACACGTATCTCAGGGAACTTCTGTATGTCGGCCGTTGTGCCAGGCAGTGGGTTCAAGGTGGGCTTATTAGTAAGCCTTCTGTGGTAGAGCCCTTCAGAAGTTTTACTTACGTCTGATTAAAATTCATTTCTGCAAGCCATTTATTTTTTGTGGAGTCATAACGACCCGGCTTTGAATCCTGATTCTCTTCCTCATTAGCTGTGTGATTTTGGTAGAATGACCTAAACTCTGAGCCTTTTCCCTCATCTGAAAGACGGAGGCAATAGTACCCACAGCACAGGCTGTTGTGAGCCTTACGTGAGATAATGCATGTAAGGTGCTTGGCGTGTAGAGAGCGCTCCAGAAATGAGAGCCATTGTTGCCGGGACCGGGCACTGCTGGGGGATACTGGGGGCTCTGGGATGAATAGCACACAATTTTGGGGTTCATCTGCATCTAGCTTTGCTCAGTTAATACCCTCGCAAAGTTACTCTCCAATATTTGGCAAATATGTTTGGCTTTTGTTTTTAAGTTGCTAGAGAGATACACATGTCTACTTTCTGTACAGATTTAACTGTGTTTTCGTTCCATCCTCTCCTAAACAGATTCCTGTGTGATCAGTGACCATCCCAAAATACAGATCAAGAACTCAACTTTCTGCATGACGGCCTATCCCAACTTGACAATGGTTAATTTCACCAGCCAGGCCAATAAAACGTTTGTCAGTGGGAGTGAAGAGTATTTCAAGTAAGATTTAAAAAAAACTTTTCTGAGAGAAACCCAGTGAATTAGTGACTATTCAACTTGTAGACTAGACAGATGGGTTGCCTCCCTCTGTACCGCCCTACCTACTCAGATGCTCGCGGAGGAAGATTTTTTCCCTGGTCTGGCTTCTGGGAGCGGGTTATTGTGCCCTGTGGGCCTGGAGAGGAAAGTTGGCTGAAAGCTGGTGGGAACAGAATTGATGCCGCTGTAGTTCATGACGCTGATGCCAAAAACATTGCAAAACCTCCCTCTGATGTGATCTAAGCAGACCTTCAGTTGACTAGGTTGTTTTTCTGTTTTTACTTGTTTTGTTTTTTTCCTTCTGCACTTGTGAGGGGAAGAGAGACAAAAATTCAGGAAAGTCAGGAAACAAATCATGATCAGTGATTTGGTTTAAAGAAGAACTAATTCTTTCCTTTTTTTTTTTTTAAACAGCTCTGTCTTAGTTTTATACTTTCTTCATTTTGCCGGACATTGGGGATTGGGGTTTGGGGATTTAGGAAATCCTCAGCCACCACAGGAAGATTTAATAACGTTCAGGGAATTATTTCATAAGGGAGGTAGATGGAGACAGAGTTCAACAGAGAGTAGATAATGTTCTCTAGCTAAGCCTTAAGTCGGGGGTTGTAAACTCAAATGTACTTGGGGGCTTGGCAGGGAGGTAGAGGTAAGACGATAGAGAATGGTGGGGACTGTGGCCAACGGGAGGGGAGGTCTGCCCAGTGTAAGGGAGGCTGCTGATGCTCAGCTCCATCTGGCCCCTGTCTTACGGGAATGTGGGCAGTGCTGCCAGAGCTTCTATTTTACAAGAGAAGTTGGAAATAAAATAGGAATTTTTATGTGTCTCTCCCACTTTAAATGTTAGCAAACGTATTCAGATGAAACACTGGGGTCACGTAAAATGCATGTGTCAGGGGGCCCCTGGTTTGTGGCCTTTACTTAGATAATAGGAAGTGGTTACTACTGTTCCCAGTAGTTCTTCCAAGCTTTCTCTCTTGTGGACTTAGAGGGCACATGGATGTTTCCTGTAGAACAGAAGGGGCACTTAGGCTCAATGAAGAAATAATTCCCTTTGAAGAAAACGTAGGACCAGTGAGGGTGGGCCTTGATTCACCCTGAACTCTGGGAAAGGAGTCTGACCTCGTGGTGGGCTGAAATCTGATCACATAATCCATGTGGTCAGGTGTATTATGAAGTGTTTTGCAAATCTGCTTTTGGTGGCTTTGCTAATCCTCTGGGACCAGTCTTAGTTTCCAAGAGGGAATGTTATCAGGAGCTTCTTGGGGCCCATCCAATATCCCTTATTAAATCATGGAGTAGTTGAGATGGCCAAGGGGCCGTGGAATTGTTGGCTAGATGGCCTGCCCATTGTGGGGTTGGGGGTCCTTTTCAGTGCTTAGAAGTATGGTCCCTAAGGTTTGGTAGCCCAGGCTGGTTCCACCCTTGGTGACTTCTACTCTACTCTAGAGTCCAGGTTGCCCCAGGAGTTGAGACTAAAAGAGCTCCGGGTTGCTCTTGTGAACCGCAAAACAGCCTCTCACAGTGTCGCTGGCTAGCTGGCCGGAGGGGTGCTGCCCCCTTCACCTCCCTCAGCAGGTCAGGACACTCGGCCGTCATGTCTGCAGTCCAGTAGAGTCTGGATGCTGGCTGGCCCTTGATTCAGGTCACAGAAAGACACCCACCTACACGCACAGCACTTTCATCCAGGCTGTGTGACTTTATTACAGAGTTGAGGGGATTGTCCCATCTGGCGTCATGACTCATGGTCTCTGAAGCTGCTTCCTGTCCCCAGGGATGAGGCTGCCTGCTCGCCCTCTAGCCAGGGATGCGGGCGTCGCCACCTTCAGCTTACACACAGGTGCCAGCAGCCGCTACAGATGAGCGCCAGCCCCCTTCTGTTTGCGGCTGGTTGTCTGTCTTCGAATACCTTCCTTGAGTAAGGCCCAGCCATCCCTGCTTTTACATTTCAGCCAACCTCAGCCCTGGGACATGCTCATCACAACCTGAACTAAAATGCACAGCGGCATTTTTAATTCTTTTACCATAATGACTCTGTACTGATTTTTTTAAATTTAAAGTTGTACAAAAACTATTGGGGGGCTTCCCTGGTGGCACAGTGGTTGAGAGTCTGCCTGCCGATGCAGGGGACACGGGTTCGTGCCCCGGTCTGGGAGGATCCCACATGCCGCGGAGCGGCTGGGCCCGTGAGCCATGGCCGCTGAGCCTGTGCGTCCAGACCCTGTGCTCCACAACGGGAGAGACCACAACAGTGAGAGGCCCACTTACCACAAAAACAAAAACAAACAAACAAAACAAACAAACAAAAAAAACTATTGGGATACATTCTCACAAAAGAGTAGAACAATACAGAAACACACAAAAATCATCCTTGACAGCTTAGAGTTTCTGTTAGTGATGTGTCCTTATGTAAAGACAGCAACCTCCATAATGCCCATTCCTGGGGCTGCTACACCAGGACCCCCGACGCTGTTGGATTTGTTGCACTGCTCCTGGGGCAGCTCCAGATGATGGTGGAGCTGACATAGCCTTGTTCAGAGCCCGCCCAGGGCCATAATTAATTTTTTTAAGTCGAAGTATAGTTGAATTATAATATGGTGTTAATTTCAGGTATATAGCAAAAGTGATTCAGTACACACACACACACACACACACACACATATTCTTTTTTAGATTCTTTTCCCTTATAGGTTATTACAAAATATTGAGTATAGTTCCCTGTGCTAATACAGTAGGTCCTTTAGGGCCATAATTTTTTTAAAATTAATTAATTAATTTTTGGCTGCATTGGGTCTTCGTTGCTGCGCGCGGGCTTTCTGTAGTTGCAGCGAGTGGGGGCTACTCTTCGTTGTGGTACGCAGGCTTCTCATTGCGGTGGCTTCTCTTGTTGCGGAGCATGGGCTCTAGGCGCGCGGGCTTCAGTAGTTGTGGCTCGCGAGCTCTAGAGCACAGGCTCAGTAGTTGTGGCACACGGGCTTAGTTGCTCCGTGGCATGTGGGATTTTCCCGGACCAGGGCTCGAAGCTGTGTCCCCTGCATTGGCAGGTGGATTCTCAACTACTGCGCCACCAGGGAAGCCCCTTTAGGGCCATAATTAATTAAAAGCAGGGTAAATTCAGTGGGTCTCACCGCAGACAGCTGTGGGAGGGAGCCCGGATCAGCAAATCCCTCACAACCTGATCTGATCAGGTCCCTGATGGGGAGGGTGGGGATGCTGGGATTTTGTCTGAGGCTCTGCAGGAAGATAAAGCCTGCAGACTGTCACCTCCGCCAGCTCATCTTTCCCCTCCTTCCTCCCCTCCCTTCTCTCTCCTTTCAACTCATAGGTACTTTGTGCTGAAGATTTCTGCAGGGATTGAATATCCTGGCGAGATCAGGTGGCCACTAGCCTTCTGCCTCTTCCTGGCTTGGGTAATTGTGTATGCATCCCTGGCAAAAGGAATCAAGACTTCAGGAAAAGTAAGAACTTGTATTTTTCTGAGAGAAAGCTCTGGGACCCCCAGGGCTGTTTGTGTCATAGAGCAGCCAAAGGGCACTGGGATGAGAGTCGGGAGGCGTGGGGTGGAATTCTGATTCGTCCCTGAGTAGCTGTGAGGCCTTGGACAAGTGACTTCACTGCTGTCTGTAAAATGGGATAATAATGCCTTTCTCCCCGGGAGGTTTTACGGGTTAACTGAGACAGATGTACTCAGGGCTCCTAGTGGATGGCGGGGGCTCTGTGGTGAGTTTCCTTCCTTCCCTATTGGGGACCCTTCATTCAGCAGATGGCACTCCCCGATATGATTCAATCTCTCCCGCAACTCTAGAGTTGGTGCTGCCGGCTTTTTGCTTCTTGGTCTGGCTGCCAGCTCAGTCACTGCTCCTCCCAGGAAGCTGGAAGATCAAAGTTGCGAAGGGGATTCCTTCTCCTCATTCCTGATCACCCCGTTCTCCGCCTTTCGTGCCCTTTCTCCAACCCCACCCCAACACTCTCCCACCCCACGTGCCCCCAGCATGACAGGGCGATAATCCTGCCAGTGGGAGTTTGGTCGAGCATGTGCTTGGCCCCTCTTGCTAGATAGTCGCTTGGCAGGTCCTTTGGAAGTGGTGGGACACCCACCCCAAGCTCAGTTCCAAGGCACGGCAGGCACGGTGTGCAGGGTCCCTCAGGACACGCTGGATGTTGTGGTAAAGGTCCCAGTGTTTTCCCCTCATCTTCCTGCTGCTTTAGAAAAACTCCATGAAAAGGTTAACCAACCACTTTGATGATAACCAATACGAGTTCATCATCTGGAGAGTCATTTGCATGTCTCAGCATGAAATGCCAAATGTCTTTAAGGCCCAAGGAATAGAATGTGATGGTGGACTCTGAGACCATAGGTTGTGGAGTTTGGCTTGGTCCAGTCGTCCAGGCCAGGGTTTACTGTGGTCACAATAGCAAACAACCCGTTTGGAAGGATCCGGCCTCACGGGGGTGAGGGTCCGTGCCGTCTCTCACCCCCCAAGGCATGCTTCACAGGCCCCACCAGGCACCCACACCTGGCACTCATCAGCCACAGAGAGCGGTGTGTCTTCTCCCTGGACGCGTGGACAAGCTCACGAGGGCCTTCTGGTAACAATTCTTTCTGGTGCCCTCTATGTAATCTGGTTCCACATGGGCTTGAATGGTGTATTCTGGCAGCTTGGTCAGGGTCACCTGAGCCAGTGGTGCCCTTAAATGACATCAGGTGGGGAGAGAACCAAACTGGGGGTTAGGAGACCTGGGTTCTAGCCCCCCAGCCCTTCCGTGGTGTTTTCTGTGTAGGGACATCTCCACTTGGACGATGAAACCTGGCTGAGCTTCGGATTTGCCCTTAGCTTTTATTTATTTAGCCAATAAGTGGAAAGTGGATTTTCTTTATCTTAGCTATTTCAGGAGCCTTTGGTTGTCTCATTTCTAAAGTGAAGGCAATTGGATTGGGCGATGTCTAAGACCTGCTGGCTCTGACATGATTCTGTCGGAACATTTGCTGGGTGAGCTGGGGGTACTTTTCCTCTCTGACCTCGGTTTCCCCCTCTGTAAAATGAGAGCTGGGATTGAGGACCCTGCTAGCTCTGAATGAGTATTATGAGACTGGAGCAATTGTTTTTCTAGGGCAGCAGGAAGATGAGGAAATGTTAACATGACCCTCACAGTAACGCCCTGTGAGTCCTGAGGTTTCCTGGGCTCCTCTCCTTCTGTGACTTGGAACTGAGCTTGGAGTGGCAGTAAAGGGCCAGCCAGGGCTTCCCTGGTGGCGCAGTGATTGAGAGTCCGCCTGCCGATGCAGGGAACACGGGTTCGTGCCCTGGTCTGGGGAGACCCCACATACCGCGGGGTGGCTGGGCCCGTGAGCCATGGCCGCTGAGCCTGCGCATCCGGATCCTGTGCTCCACAACGGGAGAGGCCACAACAGGGAGAGGCCCGCGTACCGAAAAAAAAAAAAGGGCCAGCCAGGTGGTGATTGTTTAGCAAGAGGGACCATGTCTTTGCTCAGCCAAAATCGAACTGCAGGACCATCACGTATAGCTAGAGATGGAGAGAGGGCACCTTCAACCATAATCGAAGTGGCCGGACAGGTCTCTAGCAGGATAGGCTAGAAGGTGTGATTGGCAGGAGAAGAGGTGTTAGGTGAGGAGGATCAGAACAGCAGCCTTGTTGGCAACATGAGGAAGGATGGCCTGGTGGCTTTAGAGTCAGACCAGTCTGAGTTCAAATCCCGTCTTGATCACTTTCTGGTTGTGTAACTCTGGACAAGCTGTTTATCCATTGGAACCTCAGTTTCCTCACCTGTAAAATGGGGATAATAGTACATACCTCATAGAGCTGTTCTAAGATTAGGTGGGAGAATATATATATATATATATATATATATATATATATATAAAATACCTGGCATATGGTCAGTTCTTAACTGACATTAACTCTCTTCATTTTTGTGATAATGATTGACTGATGTATTGAGTGGATATTGTGCCGTGCTGACATCTTGAAAGCAGCGGCTCTGGTGGGAAAATGGAAAGAGAAAGGGAACTTGGTTGAATACTCTGTGTGCCAGGCACTCTGCTAACCACTTCACCTGCATTAGTGCATTCAATCTGCCCAACAACCAGCTAGGTAAGGACATTTCTTCCCATTTTATAGATAGAGAAGTTGAGGTGCATCAAGGTAGAGTAAATTGCTGGAGGTCACACAGCTTTTTTTTTTTTTTAATGGTGTAGTAATTACATATAACCTACTCACAAACTCCCGAATACTTTATTTTACTTTATTATTTTTAAAATTATTTATTTATTTATTTGGCTGCGCTGGGTCTTAGTTGCGGCATGAAAACTCTTAGTTGCAGCATGTGGGATCTAGTTCCCTGGCCAGAGATGGAACCCGGGCCCCCTGCATTGGGATCGCAGAGTCTTAGCCACTGGACCACAAGGGAAGTCCCGGTCACACAGCTTTTAAGTGGCAGTGCTGGGATTTGAACCCAGGTCTGTCTCCCTTTAAAGCCTAGACTCTTTCCACTACGTGACATCCTCTCCCAAGGAGGGGCTGTTAGAAATAGTTGGAAATGCAGAATTCTGGAGCCATCATTTGCATCTGGGGGGATAAAAGTCCCCCCACTGTGAATCAGGACCCTTGCACTGCTACCCTGTCCTGCTGTCAGTAGCTGTCATTGCCAGCTGGGCAAGTCCCAGGAGGCATCCGGGTCCCATCTTCCACATCTGCAAATTCAAGTGTTAAGATAAATATTCTCTAAGATCCTTCTTTGCTTATCAGTCTGCAATTTTGGGGGGATGGTGTTAGAATCAGTTCTTGGCATTGATTTAGAAGTTAATCCTTGGTGCTAGATTTTATGGGCTCTCTCTCTCTTTGAAATGGGGATTTTTGAGTAGCCCTGAGCAAGTAAGCTTTTCTTTTAGATCTGCTAAGTTATCTTTCTGCTTCTTTGAGAGAGGTTTCCAATTAGGGATCAATGATTAATTTTCTTTTAATGAGGAATACCACCAGAAATAATGCATCCCAGTTTATTATCCTGCCCTGGCTTGTGCAGACGTTAATCATGGAGCTTTGTTTGGAAGCACGGCTGCAGCACCTCATTATGACAGGCTCCTTTGTGATCGAAGTTCCACCAAGACTGTCATTTCTAAGCAACAGAGATGCCCTTCTTCTGTTGCAGCAAGATAAACTCAGTTCCTCTTGTTCAGGGACCTAGGAGACAAGAGTGGCCGGTTGCTTCCTATGAGACCTGAGTCTCCCTTTGAGCAGCTAGAATTCCAGAGGCAGGGGCGACCAGCAGGCAGCCTGAAGGTCAAATGCAGCCCACCTGACCTCAGGGGCCGCTCTGCCTGAGAGTTATGGCAAGGACACAGAGCTAGCTTAATTAGCTGGCACTGGCTGGGGTGGGGGCAGTGGCCTTACCACCTATTCAGGGCTCCCGTTGTGAGGACTGTGCTGCCAGGTGTCAGGCCAGCAGGCTCAGATCAACTCGTCATTGTCACTCCTGCCAAGTATAATTCATTACTGTTCAAGTTTAATTCCACTGACAGTCCATCCTGAAACAGGTGCATTCTGAAGCCCCTGTGACACAGGAGAACTAGCTGTGAAGAGACCTCCACAAACACCTAACACTTGACTCACATTGGAGGCATCCCCAGGATCTCGAAATGAAACTGTGTGCCCTTTCAGTTCACCGCAATCCCCATTGACAAAGTGAGTGCATCATTCCACATACCAGGGCCAGACCTGGTGAGGTGAGCAAGTGCCTAGGGTGTGAAATTTAAGGCGGCGCTCACTCTCAGGTTCTTGCATGTGCAGGCTCGGCCCCATGAGGGTGAGTGTTTCCTTAAATTGTGCACCCCGGGTGTTCCCTTGCCTCACTCTAGTCCCCGCCCTGCCTCACACATTTCTGATCATGTGGCCCAGTGAGTGGCATTAAAGGTATGGAAATAGGATTTGTAGTTAGAAAGCTTCAAGTCTGGATCTTGGCTCCAGCTGGGAGACCTTGAGTGAGATATTTAACCCTTTGTGAGAGGCTTAACCTGAGCCTCAGTTTCCTCCTCTGTAAAATGGGACTGCAAAGAGCTGATCCATGGAGGGAACTCCAGAAATGGGCTGTCTCCCGCACTCAAACGGGAGCAGCGTCTCAGCCGGTTAGACTGGTGCCACTCTTGGGGTCTTCTTCCTGCTGGACCCCACTATCTATGTCATCTCCTCTCCCTTGCCTCCTTCCACCCTCATCTCCCACCAGCTCCACGTGGTCAGGAGGTGAAGAGGATATCCCTTAGTTGTCACCCTGCCCCTGCTGTCTTGGCCGGGCCCCGCCCGGCCCTGTAGCGTTCCTCTCCCCAGCCCGGGTCATCCTGTGGTGGGTGATTTTCTCCTGAGCCCGGGTCATCCTGTGGTGGGTGATTTTCTCCTGAGACGTCAGATGACTTTGGGTTTCCTACCGTCTGTGTGTGGAAGGGTTTCACTTAAGGGGAAGGAGAGAAACAGCTTTGGGGGTGGATAGGAGGGAGCAGGGAGCCCCCCCCCCCCTCATGGTCCCTGGTAATTCCAGTGCCTCAGGACAAAGAGGGAAGGGGGCTGCTGTCCCGGGGAACGGGAAGGAGACTCCCGGTTGGTGGTGGCAGCAGTGCGGAGAAAAGGAGACCAGCCCATCTCTGGTCTGTAGACAGGAAGACTTTGGCCTTGACGAGTAATTGGGTTTAGAGCAAGAAATAACTCCTTATCTTTCCTTGACCTGCAGCCTGTCCCATTTCAGCTGACGGAAACTCTGCCCACCAGCTGCTGAGGCCACCACCTTTGGGGTCACCCTTGACTCCTGCCTCCCGCTCCCCTCACTCCACATTAAATTGGTCAGGAAGTTCTGTTGATCTTCCTGCACAGTGTATCCGGTTTCTGATCATTTCTCCTAGCTCCCCTGAAACACCCTGGATGGAGCCATTGCTGTCCCTTCCTTGCCTGGATTGCTGCTGTGGCCTCCTAACCGCTGCCCCTGCAGTGTAAACGTGGCGCAGCAAGCCGGTGACAGCTAAAATGTTAGATCGTATCAGCCCTCTGCCCAAATCCCTGCAGTAGTTCCCCATCCCCTCCCCACCCACATGGGGCCCACAAGGCTCTGCAGGATCTGTCCCTGCCTCCACCCCTACCCTTGCCTTCCTGTCCCACCTGTGCCCTTGCCCAGCTACAGCGGCTGCCTGGCTGCTCCTAGAAGGCTGGCACACTCCCTTCTTAGGGTCTTTACTCCAGCGGTTCCCTCTGTCTGGAATGTTCTCCCAGATATCCAGTTGGCGCCTTCTCACTTCCTTCAAGTCCTGGGCAACTTCTCAGTGAGGCCTTCCCTGTCCTCCCCTTTATTATGGCCATCGTCCCAGCCACCCTCCCCAGCATGTGCCTGGAACATATTAGATACTCAAAAATATGTGTACCTATGTATGCATATGTGTGTATTTATTGGATTAATAAGAAGTAACCACAAGAGATTTATCTTCATCTCAACCCTAACTTTCCCTCAATCCATCCTTTGCAAGTCCTTGAATCAGTTCTCATCTCTTAAAAATCCCAGTGCCTGCCAGTCGCTGCCAGGCTGGAGCCCCTGTCAGGCCATGGGGTCTGTGCAGCCAGTGTGTGATGGGGACTCTATCTCCCTCCCGGAGGCAGGTGTTCTGGGTTCCGCAGGATGGAAGGCTGTGGGTGAGCACAGAGGGGCTCTGAATCAACAGTGCTCAGCTGGCTATCTATGCCCATCCTGTGGATGAGGGAGGGTTTGGTGGTCCAGGACAGGAGCTTAGCTTCATCCTTCCAAGTGTCTCCTAATGTACTTTTGCGATGTAACTGGCTTATAAGCTGAGGGTCGCCAGGATTATTAAATTTAGGACTGGTGAGTCATTGGCAAGACAGAAATGGCACTTCCCTTTCCAGGGTCCCAGGCCTGTTCCATGTCATATGCATCGTCCCATTGTGCTCTTCCAACAGCCCTGTGAGGAATATGCTTTTGTTATTGCCACTTTGCAGGTGTGGACACTGAGACTCAGTGAGGTTAAGTCACTTCCCAAGGTAGCCCAGCTCATAAGTGATGGAGCTAGGGTTTGAGCTCAGGCCCATTGGAGTGCAGAGCCCAAGCTCTCCCAGTCTGCTCTTCTCTCTGTCTACTGAATCCTGGTCCCAAGCCCTTCCTCCATTCTGAGGTTTTTTGTTTTTTGGTTTTTTTGGGTTTTTTTGCGGTACGCGGGCCTCTCACTGTTGTGGCCTCTCCCGTTGCGGAGCACAGGCTCCGGACGCGCAGGCTCAGCGGCCATAGCTCGTGGGCCCAGCCATTCCACGGCATGTGGGATCCTCCCGGACCGGGGCACGAACCTGTGTCCCCTGCATCGGCAGGTGGACTCTCAACCACTGCGCCACCAGGGAAGCCCCATTCTGAGGTTTGATTGACAGATAAGGAAGGTGCCTCTCACTCATCCCATTCAACCACAGCTCCCAATTTCTGCTGATGATATTTCCCAAATATTTCTTGGCTCTGCTCCTTCCCTCTCGTCCAGAATCTAGGAGCCTCCTTTGGCTGGTACTCAGGGCCTCCACGACCTGTCTCCTCCCATGTCTCTAGTGCCCCATTGCTCTTAGCCTCAACTGTGTGCTGTGCTCCTAGTGAATTTAGGGCCTTGCCCTCACCCCTGCCTTTCCCACTTTCTTCCCTCACCTTCCCACCTCACCTCACCTCCTCTGCGTTGCACTTGGCCTCTAAGATCCGACTCGCGCGTCATCGCCATGCATCTTTCTGTAATCTCCTGGATTGAGCCGAGTGCCCTCCCCTGGACTTCACAGTGTCCTGTTTGGAACTGCTTGGCCCATTATTCATACATTGTCTCTGGGTCTCCGAGGTCGAGTTCCTTCACCGTTATACATCTAAGCCCTGGCACAGCTCCCAGGTCATAGTAGGCCGTGATAAATGCTTGTTGAACTTAACTGCATTGAATGACCATCTGTTACAAGTTAGATGCTGTGCTAGGGGCCCATTTAATCCTCAATTATTTTCTTTAAGAAATGTGCTATTATCCCCAGTTTACAGCTGCAGAAACTGAGATTCAGAGAGCTGCTTAGCTTGACCTAAGTCTCATAGCTACTCAGGGCCAGAGATGTGATTTTATTTGAACCTAAATATGTCTAATTCTAAGATCATGGTTCTCTCATGTCACTAGGCTGCCTCACTTAGGGTGTATGTATAAACAAGGATGGAAAACTTAAACTAAAGAAATTAATCTCTAATGGTGGGATTTGGGGCCTGAAGCAGAGGGTGGGCTAAGAGTTAGGGAGGAGGGGGGGCACATAACCTTTCTCTTTCAGTTGGTCCTTAGGGAGTTGTCCACTTCTGCGCTGCAGGCTGACTCAATCCACAGCCTTGGGTGTCCCCCTCAAGACTTCATTTCTGGGCTTCCCTGGTGGCGTAGTGGTTGGGAGTCCGCCTGCCGATGCAGGGGACACGGGTCTGTGCCCCGGTCCGGGAAGATCCCACATGCCGCGGAGCGGCTGGGCCCGTGAGCCATGGCTGCTGAGCCTGCGCATCTGGAGCCTGTGCCCTGAAACGGGAGAGGCCACAACAGTGAGAGGCCCGCGTACCGCAAAAAAAAAAAAAGACTCCATTTCTGGCTCTCTCTGATTCACCTTTGGTCCCAGTGCCTTCCTTGTGTCCTCAGACCTGGAAGAGTTTGGGGAAAGCTACCCTATCAGGCACTTGCGTCCGGGCGGCAGATCACACTCTGCCTCTGTCGATGCTCCTTTGGTCACATCCCATGTGTCTGCTCCTTCCTGCCCCCGTGTGGGTGGTTTTCCCAGGTGGTGTATTTCACGGCCACGTTCCCGTACGTCGTGCTGGTGATTCTTCTCATGCGAGGAGTTACCCTGCCTGGAGCTGGCGCTGGGATTTGGTACTTCATCACGCCGAAGTGGGAGAAACTTACGGACGCCACGGTGGGCTTCAGATTTCATTTATGACGGGCCTGTTTCGGGGAACGGCACCCGGGGGTGGGTCCCGCTCCGGGACACTGTTTAGCAGAAGGGGTCAGACCTCCGCCCACAGGGCATCTCACTGTTTTGCCTTTACAAACTCCTGATAATCTTGAAATGTGACACACTCAGGAAGTTTTTAATGAGAACTGAGCAGCTGGGGGTTTCAGATTCCTGGAATAGTTGTCCTACGTCTGGGAGGCTGCAGAGGCTGAAATGAAGAATGAAATTCCCCTAATAGCTTTGGGCCACCTCATGCCACTTATCTGTTGCTAATTATAGTGTGTTGGAAATGGAGTTTTGCTGGTTGGAAAATAATAGCACTTAGGCAAACGGCAAGCAATTATAATTTAAAGGGCTCAGACAGATTTGAATACTTCTGGCACACCGAGACACAGAGCCAGCACACACTTACACTTTCTCTTGGCATATTCTGTACAGGCATATCTTACTCTAAAATTCCCAACCCCCAGAACTTCACATGAGGGGGTGATTGTTTAATAAGAAATGCATTTTCTCACCTTAAAGAAAAATCTGCTTTTCCAGAAGATTTTAAGAAAGCAAAACTAGGATTGAGTCTGCACATAATGAAAAACCTCCAGATAATGGCAGCTTTAACAAAAGTTTATTTCACTTGCAACCCAGTGGTAGATAGTCAAGCACTGGTTGGGTGGCTCCACAGTGTCCCAGGTTCCTGTCTTTCTGCCCCACCATCCTCAGTGAATAGCTGCCACGTAGCTGCCAGAGCTCCACCCATCGTGTCAGCATTCCAGGTGGCACAAAGCAGTGAGGGAAGAGACAGAGATAGGCATCCTCCTTCTCTTTAAAAGAGGAGACAGCCCAGAAATTCCACATAACACTTGATTTTCTCATCATTGGCCAGAAACTAAGTCATATGATGATTTCCTCTCAGCTGCACCTCTCCTTGATTCTGGGAGGTGGCCATTTGGCTGGACATATGGCTGCCTTTAAATAAAACCACAGCTCTGTTAGTGAGGAGCATGGGAGGATGGAGGTTGTGGTACAGACTTTGCCAGCACACACTTGAACTTTCTCTTTGCATATGTTAAGCACAATTTAAAAACCAGTTTTAATTAATAAAAATGAGAGGAAGTCCATATCAAATCATATAAATCTATATAGCTCAAACTCTTGAGTAGCTTTCTGGAGTTTAATGAGGACAATTAAAAGAAATCGCCAATGGGCTCCTCTGGTGGCGCAGTGGTTGAGAGTCCGCCTGCCGATGCAGGGGACATGGGTTCGTGCCCTGGTCGGGGAAGATCGCACATGCCGCGGAGCGGCTGGGCCCGTGAGTCATGGCCGCTGAGCCTGCGCGTCCGGAGCCTATGCTCCGCAACGGGAGAGGCCGCGGCGCTGAGAGGGAAAACAAATCGCCAAGATGACCAAGAGGTGTTGTCAGCCAAGTTCAAGAATGAGGTGGCACTGTAAAATCCACTCAGCTGTGGCACAGAGCTTGCTTTACTTTGATGAGGGGCTACAGAATTTCAGATTTTTAGTAAATTGTCCTAATCTTTAGGAATGTCAATTTTATTTTTTATTTTTTGGGGGGAATGTCAATTTTAAAAGGTTTTCATTTTGTACCCATGAATATTTTTGCTGTCCCAAATTGTTTTTTTGAGTGTGTTTCCAGCTAAAGAAGGGGCTCTCCCCTTCTGTATAGTTTTACATTGTAGGGCTTGCAAGCATGAAATGTGTACATTGCTTATTGAGTTCCTCTCCTTTGATTAGAATGAAGTTGGAGTCTCCCAGGTCATTTACTGCCTTTTTGGCTTCCAATGCAAATGACATATGTTTCTCGTTTATTTTGGTGCCAAACTCATCTTGTCCTGACTGCCTTTTCCCCCCCGGGGAGATGGTGTGGCTTTGGGAGACTCCCCTCCCCTGGGCCAGCCTCCTTCAGTGACCTTGAATCTTCCCCTCTTTTGCCTCCCAGGTGTGGAAAGACGCTGCCACTCAGATTTTCTTCTCTTTATCTGCCGCATGGGGAGGCCTGATCACTCTTTCTTCTTACAACAAATTCCACAACAACTGCTACAGGTATGTGGAGGCACTTCAAGCCCCAGAGGTAGCGGGTGAATGGGACTAGGGCCTTGGGACAGAAACATGGGCTGTGTCATCAGACACCTGAGGCCATATCCTCACACTTCACCCAAGGCAGAGACAGACAGTTAGCTCTGGTGTAGGGGAAATCGCCTGCTAAGGCCTAGCTGCTGGCTTCTGGTGGCCTGGCTTGGACCCCAACTTGCACCCTGATTCTGACCCATGGGATGGAATGGAGTTTCTCTGGAGGTGCCATGCAGCTGGTTGTGTCCTGGAATAGTCCTTTGTGAGCTATCTAGTCCCTGGATACAGTTGTATGGTAGTTGCTGATGAAGTATGGTCATTCAGTCACTCGACAAACACCTTTCTAGAGAGCCCTGTAAGAAAGGCAGCATGGTACAGTGGAGAGAATACCTTGGTGATGGATGTGTTAATTAACTCAATGGTGGGACTCCTGTTTCAATGCATATGTATATCAAATCATCACGTTGTACACTTTAAATATTGTTAAAATGTATTACAGTTTTAACTGTCAGTTAAACCCAAAGTTATGCAAACTTTGAGTCCCCTCCCAGATTTAGGAAACAACATCTGGGAGGTCGGGGCGGGCCCGGGAATCTACATGTCGAGACAGGATCCTCAGGTGACTCTGGTGCAGGGTGACATTTGGATAGTGTGATATTAGGGGACTCTGGAACCCCAAAGATGTGAGAGAGCCTGGACAGCTTCTGGAGGAGGTGACATCTGAAAGTTAAATCCATCTGCGACAAACAGTAAGAAAATACTGAGGGGCTGATTAAAAAAAAAAAAGAAAGAAAGAACCTTGGAGTCAGAGAGACTTGCATTTGTATTATGACTTCACCATTTTCTAAAACTCCAAGACATGGCTAAGACACTTCACTTCTCTGAATCTCTGTTTTCTCATCTGTAAAATGCAGATTATAATGTTTTGTTGAAGGGTAAGAGATGATGTATGCAAAATTCCCACAGCAATATTTTGCACATAGTAGGTGCTCAGTAGACAGCAGTTGCCATTCTTATTATTTTAAATCATGCATGAGATACTTTGTGAACCAAAAGGAAGAGATTATAGTTAAACTGTGGCTTAGCCTGGCTGGGATGGCCTCACGCAAGTGACATCTATGCTGGGCCAAATTTCAAAAGGTGTTAGGGGAGGAAGGGAATGTTTTCAGGTGGGGATGAGTGTGGATGGGTGTGATGGAGACGTGGGAGGGAGCAGGTTGATGGGACTGGAGCAGGTGTGTGCTCACCGGGCAAGAAGGAAATAGGGCCTGAGAATTGGCTGAGGCCAGATTGGAGAGAGCCTTTGTGTTAGTCTCCTGGGGCTGCCATAACAAATAGCACAGAGTGAGTGACCTGAACAACAGAAATTGATTTTCTCACAGTTCTGGAGGCTAGAAGTCCAAGATCAAGGTGCCGACAGGGCTGGTTTCTTCTGAGCCCTCTCTGCGTGGCTTGTAGCTGGCCGTCGTCTTCTCCCTGTGTCTCTACGCGGTCTTCCCGCTGTGCGCCCTGATCTCCTCTTCTTATAAGGGCCTCAATCGTATAGGATTAGCGCCCACTCTCACGATTTCCTCTTACCTTACTCACCTGTTTAAAGACCCTATTTTCAAATGCAGTCACATTCTGAGGAACTGGGGGTTGGGACTTCAACATTTACATTTTGGGGGCACACAGTTCAGCTCGTAACAGCTAGAATGCCAGACTAACTTCTGAACTTCTTTGGTCATAGTTGCTTATTAACTTATGACCCGCGAGGCTCAGTCTGAGCATCGTCCAAGGGGGAAGCATTGCTCTGTGCTTTGTTAGAAATGAGGCTGTGTGGTGTGGCTAACGGGCAGGAAGTCTGGGTTCAAATCAGAACCTACCATTATGAGCCCAATTACCTTCCCCTGGGCCTCAGTTTCCCCATCAGTAAACTAAGGTCCTGGACAAGGTGGGCTGTATCCTGAGCACTTGCTCTGTGCCAGGCTCTGTGCGGTGCAGGCCTCATCTGGTTCTGTCCTCACAACAACCTGTGAGGGAGGTGGAGTCATTGCCACCATTTAAAGTCAGAGTGGAGAGAAGGGAAGCCTCCTGCACTGTTGGTGGGAATGTAAATTGATACAGCCACTATGGAGAACAGTATGGAGGTCCCTTAAAAAACTAAAAATAGAGCTACCATATGACACAGCAATCCCACTACTGGACATATGTCTGACGAAAACCATAATTTGAAAAGATACATGCACTGTTTAATGTGGCACTGTTTACAATAGTCAGGACACGGAAGCAACCTAAGTGTCCATCACCAGAGGAATGGATAAAGAAGATGTGGTACATATATACAATGGAATATTACTCAGCCATAAAAAAGAACAAAATAATGCCATTTGCAGCAACCTGGATGGACCTAGAGACTGTCATATTGAGTGAAGTAAATCAGACAAAGACGAATATCATATGGTATCGTCTGTTTATATGTGGAATCTAAGAAAAGGGTACAAATGAACTTATCTACCAAACAGAAATTTTTGTAGAGTTACAGATGTAGGAAACAAACTTATGGTTACCAGGGGGTAAGAGGAGGAAGGATAGATAGGGAGGTTGGGATTGACATATACGTGCTACTATATATAAAATAGATGACTAATAAGGACCTACTGTATAGCACAGGGAACTCTACTCAATACTCTGTAATGACCTATATGGGAAAAGAATAAAAAAAAAAGAGTGGATATGTGTAAAAAAATAAAGTCAGGGTGGAGAGGAAGTGACTTGGTCAAGGTCATGCCTCTAACATGTAAGAGAATTTGGCCTCATGGCTCCATCTAGCTGTGACCCCTTTCTTGGGTCTGGGATGGACAGGGCTGGCCGGGAACGGCAGCCATATGGCCAGCAGAGGGCGCTGGCACGGAGGTGCTGGTCTCTCTCCTCTCCCCACCTCCCTTGCCCTCCTAGGCCCGTATACCCCAATCCCAGGCTGTTCTCATGCTTGGTGGCATTTGTTCGTCCCACCGCCTTCTCTTCTCTCATACGTCGTTCCTGTCCCGGATTCTGCAAAAGGCCTCATCCCCTCAATTTCTGCTCTGATGGACAGTCTTACCTCTGCCACTGCCAGGAGGGGAGATCCGGTTCTCGGGCAGGTGGAGCCAGAGCTCTGTCCCGAGGCCCTGGAGCAGGGCAGTTAGGGGAGGGAGAGCTTTTTGAGTCTTTTGGTGCTTATCCACTTGGCCCAAGAGAGCCTGTGGTCAGGACTGGTGGTTCCTTTCCTTGTGAATAAGAGAGAACAAGACCAGCTTACAGTGAGTACCTATTTAGGAATGGGCGTGTGGACGTGGGCACACAAACACGCGAGCACACATTCATGTGTCCCTCCCCTATCCCTTCCTCCTCCTCACAAAGCACGCCTATCGGCAAACTTGTCTCTTCCTCCCAGGGACACCCTAATTGTTACCTGCACCAACAGTGCCACGAGCATCTTCGCCGGCTTCGTCATCTTCTCAGTCATCGGCTTCATGGCCAATGAACGCAAGGTTAACATCGAGAACGTGGCAGACCAAGGTACAGTGCGCTGGTTACCCTGCTGTCGAAGGGCAGGTTCCAGGTTCACACCCTGAGCTCCTCATTCATGCTATGCTAGGAAGTTGGCCTTCTGGAACAGGCTGGAGAGGGGGACAGCCTAGGTCCCCCTTTGCGGAGGGACCCAGAACAGCTGGAGTCTGAAGCTCATGCAGGGTTAGATCTGGCCGGTCCTTCCCCAGGGGTGTGGCTATAAAAGCCCCTTTCCTGTTTCCCTCTCCTTTCCTTCGTTTTCCTGTCCTCTCTTAACTCAGCTCCAGCAGAAGTAAGGTCTCTACCTGTTGGGCGTGGGGAGAGGATTCTCTAGGCAAACTATGGCTCCTGCAGCGGATGTAGGCACAACCTGCTTCAGGGTGGCTTTCCTTGCCGCGGGTCTGTGGGCACCAAACACTAATGCTTAGCGAGCGCAGCCTTTTCCTGATGAAGCGCTTTCCTGGTTGTTAGATCAGATGCGTTCTCAGGGTCTTCTGCTTATTTCGCAATGCAGACCCTGCAAATCGTTTCCCCAGTGGGTGGAAAGGTTGGACGGTGGTGGTGGGAGGGGTGTGGAATAAATGTTTACCTTCTGCCCAAGTGATCCCTCTATTAACGGCTAACATTAGTGTGGTCCCTCTGGAGTGTATAGAGAGCGCTCCTTTTTTAATCTCATTTAATCCGTATTTCTAGCACAGAATCTTGTAGAGAGTGTGTAATACTTTTAGTTAACTTTTTGCTTCCACCCAGCCTTACTCTACAGAGGATTTGGGTGCTGAGCAGGCCTCAGTGATTGAGGGATTTCATCGTGGCGTTGTCTATCATGACGGGCATTCTCTAATCAGGCATTTATGGGCTGCCTTGGTGTAGGGACTGTGCCAGGGGCTGTGGGGACAGGGCTGTGGGCCCAGATGATGCAGAGCATGGACCTGTCTGTGACTTCTCTGTGCAGTTGTCTCTCTTCAAGGAGCTCACTGCAAGTCTCAGGTAGTGGCTCAGACGCCAGCACGAGAAAGAACTAGGCCCTAGCAATGTCACCTTCTTGGCGGGCTGCTGGCTGTCTTCTGGCTCCCTAAGGATAATTAATTACTGCTTCAGCGGCGCTGATGATGCACTGCAGGCCTCAAAGGGTTAAAGAGCCACTTGGTGGAGGGGGGAGCTAACTCTCCGTGCAGAGGGTGCTGAACCCCCAGGGATTTTGGTTCTGCAGCAGTGCACTCAATTAGAGGTCCCAGAGCTGAGCAAATGCCCTTCCCTGGTTGAAAAATTTAATCCTTCTGGGGAGCAGGGAGGTGGTGAAGGGGAGGGAGAGAGTGGCGGAGGCTTTGTTTTCGGAGTGCCTGTACCACCCGCGCTGTCCTCATTTCCTTCCAGCAGCGTAGCTGGAGCAGGTAGGCCCTGCTCCACCTGCCAGCAGATCTGAGGTGTTCTGTTATTTTTGTGACATTACTGAGCTCCTTGTGAACCAGTGGCCGAGTGGCCAGAGAGAGTGATTCTTAAGATGTGGGCCACATTCGTTAACTCTTCTGAGCGTTTCCTGCTCCAGGAAAGGGATTTGGGGGCACAAGTTGCTAAAACCCAAATTAAATTTTGGTTTTCGTTTATATAAAAAGCATCAGACAAATGGCCTGTGTTTCCCTCTGAAACTTCCCCTTTCCAGAATGTTTTCATTTCCTCTGATTTTAACAGGGAGAGAGGAGTACTTCTCACAGGTTCTAACGTGTTGTGTTCATACAGTTGACCCTTGAACAATGCAAGGGTTTAGGGGCGCCGACCCTCCACGCAGTGAAAAATCTGTGTTATAATTTAGAGTCAGCCCTTCGTAGATACAGTTTCTCTAAATCTGCAATTCCTCTGCATCCATGGATTCGACCAACTGCAGATTGTGTTGTACTGTAGTATTTACGATTGAAAAAAATCCGTGTCTGGGTGGACTCGTGCAGTTCAAAACTGTGTTGTTCAAGGGCCAGCTGTACTTGGTAGTTTCTCATTGTCACCAGCACGGGGACAGTGGGTCTCATCTCCCACAGGGGAGGGGCAGTGGCCCGGGAGGTCTTCTCCCAGACCCGTGGGCAGCTAAACCTGCTCGTCTGAATTTGCATACATTCTTATATGTGATTAGCAGGCTTGTCTGATTTCCCCTGTTGTAATGGAGGCTCTGCAGAATACAGAGATCGGGGTCAGGACTGCATCAGGTGCCAGCCCCAAGCTCTCCTAGCTGGGCGACATTGGCACGTGGACATTCAGTTCATTTTTGCTGACCCAACATTAGTAACTCTGCTTTGGTATTCAGTCAAAAGCAGGTTCTCTTTAATGACCTAACACTAGTCCATTTCATTTATAGCTCCCTTGTAAGGGAGGCTCTAAGTTATTACCCCAAATCTTGGCCGTATCAGAGCTTCTGGGGGCTTGAGGGTGGGATTGGTGATGAGACCAAGCTGTCCTCTGCTTTTACGATGGGCACAGGGAAGGGGGCGTGGTCTTCTCAGGCATCTACTCCAGAGAAAGAGCTTGCTGGGAAGTCAGCCTTTTAGAGTCATCTCCCAGCCAACTGCTGCCTGGGGAGCACTGACTCACGGTCAGAATCCAACTCAGAGCCCTACCAAGATGCTCACCCACTAGCGGCAAGACTGGGTTAGACCACAGCAGAGGAACACAGAGGTGCGTATTGCATATAGAGTCCCAGGTCTAGGTGGTAACTCTCAGGTAACCAGGCCACTAGGAAGTTCTGCCCTGGCTCCCTCACCCCCTCATAGTTCAGAGACCCTGCTGATGAAGATGAACGCTCTCAAACTGGACTGACCGTCCCACCATCTGTCTGTCACCTGGATGCCAGTCCTTCCAAAGGCACAGGAAAGGGTTCCGGTGTTGCGTCCTCTAAGAACGCATCCACATGTAGTAGGTTTCTCAGAAGAGTAACCACTCACCGTGTGCTGTGGGTCGTGATGGGTCCATTGACCGGAGCCCCTGGTTGTGTCTTCAGTGGCTCTCTAGGACCAAGGAGGCTGTCACTGTAGGTCTCTGGGGGCCCCACCCAAGATGCTGGCATGCAGAACCCCTTTGATCCCCTCTCATGGGAAGAGTAATAATGGTCTATGCTTACTGAGTTCTCGCCATGGCCAGGCATGGTTCTGAGCCCTTTACTTGTATCAACACACTTAATGCTCACAGAAATTCCCTGAGTGTAGGTGCTATTATTATCTCCATTGTACGGAGTCTTACCTATGGTCCCGCAGCTAGTAAGAGGCAGAGCCAGTTTTCTGGCCCATGGGGGAGAGGAGCCTGCAGTCCACCCACTGGGCCTTGATGCCTCCCAGAGGGAGAGGAAAGAGGCAGGACTCAGCCTCCATCAGACACAAGGGCCTAGCCCGGGGAAAACTCCGCTGTGGCTCGGACAGTCCATCTTTCTGAACTCTACAAAATGTTCTAAAAACGTATTTAAAAAATCCACTCTCTAGCCATCTTGGATAAACGGAGTTTGCTGAAGATGATGCCTTTACCCTGCATACTTTAGGGAGGCCGCTGAAATGGAAACAGGCCGAATATTTTGAAATCATTCCCCTCCCTGAAAAAGCAGTAAAGCCCAAACGGCCAGAATCCTGTTAAAGCAATGAGCCGAGGTCCTCCGGCAGTGGCCATTTGAAGACCTTCTTGTCCACTTTATGGGCCTAAACTGAACTGGCTTCCTCGGTGTTCAGGGCACCGAACTGGCTTCTTCGGTGTGTTGCATTTGAGACCTATTTTGAACTGTAGCTTAATACAGATTTTTCTTTTATGGTTCACTCAGGGAGACTTCAGAGTCTGTCTCTACTGTCTGTTCAATAAATGCATTGAGCAGGGGTATCTTAGGCATTCCAGGCTTTACGTTTTAAATACCCAAGGCCCTAGGCAACATTGGGAGCTAACAACCTGATGAATTCCAGTTTAAAAAAGTGTCATTATGCTTGAGTTATAAAAACTCCAGGAGCTACGATTTCTGGCTTCCAGATGTGTGCTGGCCGTGGATTACCCCGACGTTCCCTGGTCTCTGCCCCTTATCATCTAGGTTTCTACCTATAGGGGAATTCACAACTGCCAGGTCTTTAGCCATCTTCCCAGGGAGGCTGTGAGGAAGACAGGAACGGCTGGTGGGGCTTTATGTTAGCAGAGAAAACTGCAGCTCAGACATCCTCCACCAAGACCTCACGCAATATTCTTGGGAAAACCGGAATCAGAGCTGCTAATTTCCAAGTTCATTGTCCACCCCTAAGAAAAGCTAATATTCTATGAGTGCTGATGATGTGCAAGGCACTGGTCTCAGTGCTACCTGCGTTTCCTCATTTGTCCCTCATAACCGCCCTGTGAGGAACTATTGTTATCCCCATTTTACAGATGGGCAAGATTGAGGCTTACAGAAATTAAATAACTTCTCTAGGGTTGCACAGCTGGCAAGTCATGGAGTCTGAATTTGGACCCAGGTCTGTCTAACTATTAGAGACCAAACTCTCTTAACCCTTATATCATGCTTTCCTCTTCCCCACTTAATTACCTGTGGACTGATGTAGCCCCATCTTTACCAAGCCTTTATAGGGCAAGTTCCTAAAAGTGTTAGATTGATTCATGTTTTATGTACATGGCTTCTCCTGCAGGAGTGACTAGGAACAAGGGTAACAAAATGGGGAAATGATGTCATTCTGGGCATGTTTAACCCTTACAGCAGGGTTTCTCAACCTCAGCGCTCTTGACATTTGGGTAGGATAATTCTTTGTTGTGGGGACTGTCCCATGCATTGAAGGATGTTTAGCAGCATCCCTGGCCTTTACACACTAGACACCAGTAATCATCCCCCATAACAGCCCAGTTATGAGAATCAAAAATGTCTCCAGACATTGCCATATGTGCCCAGGAGGGCAAAAATCACCCACTGTTCTAGAGGGTAATTATTACATTCTCCCCCAACTTATGAATACAAAGATGGAGGTTTTCATGTTATTTGCATGGGATATAGCCTGGCCCCGAGTCTCTGCTTTGGCACTCTTTTTGAGCTTCTCCTCTGAGTTCCCTGAGATGTGGACCTAATTCCCCTGGTCTTTCCCTCCCTGGAGCTTGAGGTCTAATTGGGGAAATGGATAGAGAGGAGTAAAAACATAGCAGATAGCAGGAGCAGCATGTGATAACTAACAACTCGGGGCTTCCATGGAGAGAGGACCCTGTGGGCTTCCAGGAAGAGGGGGCCTTGAGCTGGACCTGTTTGCAGTCATGTGTCTCGTTCCTTCCAGGGCCAGGCATTGCATTTGTGGTTTACCCGGAGGCCTTGACCAGGCTGCCCCTCTCTCCGTTCTGGGCCATCATCTTTTTCCTGATGCTCCTCACTCTTGGACTTGACACGATGGTGAGCCCCTCCCCACTTCGATCCCTGCTTCTTCTGAAGACTCCTGTCCTGGGTCCTGCATCCAGCCTGCAATGGGGTTGAGCTTAGTGGTCCTTAAACGTTTCCCTGAGTGATGTAGGGGTGGTGAGGTACCTGTCCAGGGCTCAGGATAACCTTGCATTTGTGGGTGACTCAGGTGATGGGCGGAGGAGCCGTACTCTCTCCCTCTCTGTTCTCCATGCAAGTTTGAGCCTGTGTACTTCCTGCTTTTGCTGTCATTTTGCCAAAGCAAGTCCTTTGGGGCTGAATAAGGGAAAATAATATGAGTTCAATTTTAGGGGAATTGCTCTGGGGCTGAGACTACTACAGATCATGGTGACAGGCACTCAGGGTTTAGTACTTGGGTGCAAAGAGGGTTTTTCCGCAAGCAGAAGATCAAATGCGATTTAAACGGGAAGAGAGGAATTTACGTGTCATGAATATGGAGTGAAGCTTAAAGTGTCCTGATGGATGGGGATGAGTGCAGCCTCTGGGGGCTGGAAACGCTGCTCTAAGGCCCATATCCTGCTTGGAGTCCCCTCGCTGGCCTTGTGGGTTGGACCCCAGCAAAGTCTTTCAGGCCCATCGAGGGAATGCAACCCTAAAACCCAAACCTCATACAAATACCACTTGGCCTGGTGGGAAACACAAAGGGCTTTTTGGAGCCTTTGGGGTTGGGCGGTGTGTCTCAGGTGTCGCTTTGCTGGCATCATTCCAGTTTGCCACCATCGAGACCATAGTGACCTCCATCTCGGACGAGTTTCCCAAGTACCTGCGCACACACAAGCCGGTCTTTACTCTGGGCTGCTGCGTTTGTTTCTTCATCATGGGCTTCCCCATGATCACTCAGGTAAGCTGCCTGCTGGGTAGAGGCTTGGGATGGGGGCAGGTTGCAGGGGCGCCTGATGGCTCTCCAGCCTTTTACTCTTAGCTCCCGGACCTTATAACAACAGCCAAATCATTGCCATTTCCACGTAGATGGAATCAGTTCAGTAGGGATTCTGGCCACAGAGGGAAATATGTCACCTTGGCTACTAATGATACTTGTAGCATCTTCGTAATTGAGATGTAGCCTTCTTGAGCCAACGAGACAGGTGTGTCCTACTTTAAGAAAATGGAATACGTGAAAATACTGACCAGAGAAATTGATTACCTGTAATATACAAGATTTATAGCCACTTGAGTTCCTTCTAGTTCTGAGTGTCTGGTAAGTTGAGTATTAGCTTACCTGATATATATATATATATATATATATATATATATATATATATATATATATATATATCTCTTTTATATATATATATTTCTCTATTAAAAAAAAAAATATATATATATATATATCTCAGCAATATATATATATTGCTGTCCCTGTGACCTTGAGCGAGTCACTACTTTGGGCCTTGGTTTCTTCATCTGTAAAATGATAGATTGAAAGGAGATGGTCTCTAAGCCTCATCTATTGTAGAGAGACTTAAAGAGTGAGCTGAAAATGCAGGGGGTTGCTTGAGGAATGCCCAGAGACACCTAAAGGTCATATGAAGGTCAGTCACATGCAGGTATATGGGTAGAAATGGTCATCTATTGCTTAAAGCAAAAATGAAGCAATCTGGCTACTTTCACATATACATCTTCAGATGCTGAGCTTTGCCTTTTAAGAGTGAGATGTTAGATCACTTTTCTGGGCTTGTTCTATTGATTAGCTCGGAGTCTTTCCAGGGACTGCTTTGCTAACATGGCAAGGTCCCCAGCTTACATACCTGGCCAATGTTAGGTTACTGATGTCAAGGGGAGGGGAGATCTTTTGACTCCTGTTTGCACCTGACCCTGCTCAGGATGGAAGGATTGACTGCTAGAAGTGGGAGAGAGCCTAGATCCAGGCCTATTGATGTTGGTTGTTTCTCTCCCCTACCAGGGTGGAATTTACATGTTTCAGCTTGTGGACACGTATGCCGCCTCCTACGCCCTCGTCATCATTGCCATTTTTGAGCTCGTGGGGATCTCCTATGTGTACGGTAAGGGAACCACTGTGCCTGATGCTGAGGCAGAACTTAGTGTCTGTTGCCGAGCGTCCATGGCAAGCAGGTTTCCCATATTAAGTAAGACAATGAAAGGGCTTCATTACAGCTATTTAGGAAACATAAGAGAGCTGCACCTTTATTTCCAACTTGCCTCAGGACCGCCGGGGTCTGGATTTAATAGAGAAACAAAAGACGGCTGATGGTGAAACTCAGTAGTCTTTATACCAGGAACTACTAGGACCAGGACATGCCTTTGGGTGTGGTCTGGCAAGTGAACCATCATTAGTGCCTGAGGACAATGGCCAGATTGGGTGGCGGGGGAAGGCTTCTTTTGTATTTTGAGGTCTTGGTAGCTGCAGTGTTCCTGTAGCTTGAGGTGAGGAGAAGCTTCATGGCTGATTCCCGGATACTTTAGTGAGAAAAGAGAACACAGGCCTCACAGATCCTTAGGAGACTTTGTTAGCATCATGGGAGCCTGTGATACAAGATCTCAACCCCAGATTTTCCCAGGAAGAAACTGCCTGTTCCCTTACAGATTAGCCCTTCTTAATATCACCATAGCAACCCGCATCCCATAATCAGCAGGGCCATTGTCCAGAAGAACAGGAATGGTAAGTCAGCGGATGCTATCTTTGCCCTTCAGTGGAGGTGTCTGTGTGTGTGGGGGATGGGTCTCACCGGGTGATCTCCTGGGCTCCTTGTGTGCACCGCCAGTCAGCACAAGCACACTGCTTGGGTTCAAGGCACTGCTGACTTCCCTGTGCCTCGAAGTCTCAGAATCATCCCTAATATAGATAAGGCCTCCTTAGCAAATACCAGGAAGGTGAAAAATGCCAACTCAGTTGATCCGTCTGTACTTGAAAACCAAAAAGAGATGGTAAAAAGAAAGGCAGGGTATCACTTGGATGCAGGATGTCCTTGGTATGAGCATCTTGCTTTTAATGTAATTGTTAGCCTCCTGTCCATCAGGGT